TTCACCCGGAGCAGGAACAGGGAAGCCGCGGCGGATCAGCGCGGTGGTTTCTTTGCATTGAACAACAACGCTGTTGTTAAATGCAATGATTTTGCAGCCTGTATTGCAGATGAGGTTTGCAACCTTGGCCCCTTTAAGACTTGCGGACTTCAACTCCCAGAATTCCCCAGCCAGCAAAGCTGGCTGGGGAATTCTGGGAGTTGAAGTCCGCAAGTCTTAAAGGGACCGAGGTTGCAGACTCTCCCCACCCTCTGCATTGGGTATCCTCTTCTCAAGTTCTCCCCAAATGTTCTGCCAGTTTTGGGAAGTGAGGATTCGCACCCGGTTTTGTGACCCGGAGTTGGCCTAGGGTTGTCCTAATTCGGTGTGGGAAAGAAGGGAGTAAGGGAGAGAGAAAGAGAAAGTGAGAAAAACAACAACCCAAGTTTTAATTCCCCACCTGAAAAGGGGAAATGGAGGAGAGTCACGAGTTTGGAGTGGGGCCATGATGAGAAGTTGGCAATGGATCCGCAACCCTGATTTGGAAAGAAAAAAATTATAAACCTTTGTGAGGATTGTCAGTTGCAGTCTGGGTTAGAAATCCCGTTTAGAGAGAGAGAGAGAGAGGGAAGGAAGGAAGACAATCCTGTGTGTATGTATATATGTGTGTGTGTAAACAGCCCTACATATACATAAACAGTATGAGTATGTATGTGCGTATGTGTCAGAGGTGGGTTTCAGCAGGTTCTGACCAGTTCTGGAGAACCGGTAGCGGAAATTTTGAGTAGTTCAGAGAACTGGTAAATACTATTTCTGACTGGCCCCACCCCCATCTATTCTCTGCCTCCCAAGTCCCAGCTGATTGAGAGGAAATGGGGATTTTGCAGTAACCTTCCCCTGGAGTGGGGTGGGAATGGAGATTTTACAGTATCCTTCCCCTGCCACGTCCACCAAGCCATGCCATGGCCACCACACCACACCCACAGAACCAGTAGTAAATTTATATATATATGTGTGTGTGTGTGTGTGTTTTTCTGTTGAAGCACCTGGTCTACCCCAATATGGGAGGGAGCATACTGCTTCCCTTTGCCTTTCAGCTCCAATCCAGGAGCCCTCAAGCAGTCACATTCATGACAAACCATTTTATACCAAATTAAATTAAAGAAATAAAGGGAGACTAGTATAGTTCTATTTTAAGCTATTTAGCTCTCATCAGCTAGCCATACCCTTACTCGGATTCGAATCCTTATCCAAGTTCGAATCTGAGTAAGGGTATGGCTAGCTGATGAGAGCTAAATAGCTTGAAATAGATCTATACTAATCTCCCTTGTCGGTAAATATAAATTCAACACAAAAATGTCAGCGACTGTGAAGACTCCTGGATTGGGACTTTTATTTTATCCCTTTATTTCTTTATCAGCAAATATAAATTATATGTATGTATGTATGTATGTATGTATGTATGTATGTATGTATGTATGCATGTAAGAACTTCAGCCAGAAGATGACAAATGTGATTTTGTCGAAACGTCGCTGCTACCCTTCTAGGGATATGTTTGCCATTACACGGGAAGAAACCCGAGATATTAACTGTACACACATATATACCTGTGAAAACTTACATACACACACACACACACACACACACACACACACATATATATATACATAGAAATATATACACACAAAATCATGTAGATATACATATGTATATATATATATACACACACACACATATTAATACACACACACACACAACACACACACACATACACACACCTAAACAGATACACATAACCATCTATAGGTCTGTATGTATATGCAGAACGTTCATACACCAAATAAAAGACTGGTAATTAAATATTTTATTGATTACTGATCAAATTGAGGATAACGTCTAATTGTGTTTCCCAGTCTTGGCAATTTTTAGATGTGTGGTCTTCCTGGCAGTCAGCATTGTGATTTCCAAACAAGGGTTTATGCTTTAGTGGTTGGGCCCAGGTAGCTGTGGTTTAGTCACTTAATCATTCGATGGCTTAGTTAGTTAATCCATTGGGTGGCTCTCTAATTGTACTCAGTCATGGCTCAGTGAGCCTGAACTAGAATGGCCTGTTACGAGGGCTGCAAGGAGATAGAGCAGGCAGGATGTGTCATGCACAGGCCACGCCCATCCCAGTTCTGTAAATGAGAAAAATGTCGCGAAACGTCACGTCACGGCAACATGATGTGGCGAGTTTGACACTCGTGAGCTAGAGTGTAACAGTATCAGGAAGATCGCACAAATGTCTAAAATGGTTTTTCATTAAACTATCATTTTTAATCCACAGTCTCTTCCATGGCTTCCATTGTTCCCCGGATGGCTTCCCCAGGCTCAGGGGTCTTCGTCACTTGCCACGGCGCTTTCGTGGTCCGCTCAGATTTGGGTTACTTCCTTCAAGCGCTTGACTTCTGCTCAGGACATGATCTCAAAATACAGCCCCTCCACCCTGCTTGCCGCGGAAAGGACCACTATGTGGGAGACCCCAGCAGCTCAACCATTTATCTCCTCAACGGCGACTCCTTCTGCCAAGTGCCAGACTTGAACTCTGAGCCGCCCTCGGATGTCTTCCCGTTGCACCCCAGTTGCCGTGGAGCAGACCAGTATGCGTTCTGCGAGGGATGTTTTTTCATCTTCTTCCTGTCACGAGCGGTGGTCCTGTGTGTGACTGATCTGGCCACCGGGGCCTTGATTAAGGAGATCCACTTGGAACCCCCCCTTCTCAATGGGTTGTACTACTATGGTGCTGATTCTGCCCACCTGGCTTGCTTCAGGATGGACGAGGAGCAACGGCTTTGCGGCACCCGTTTTGCCACTACTGCAGGGCACGAGGAGGTGTCCTTTGCGATCCACCCAGACGTGGTCTCATTCCTCCCAGGTGGACTGTCCATCACCCACGGCACTGCCTTCAGTCAGTGGCAGTGCCTCAAACTCCTCTCCAATGAAACCGACCTGCCCATGCCCAGCAGCAATGAAATATCCCGCAAGGTTGGCTATTCGAACTTGGAACTTGGGCTAAAAGCTCACGTTGACGAATCGGTGAATCCGGAATCCCTGGCCATTTCTCTTCTCCAGCACCACTTTGCCCTCCCTACGATCTACGGAGGGCTGGGACTTCAGACCGAGCAAGAAGAGTGGGAAGAAGTATCAGAGGAAGAAGAACCTCTCCGGGTGATCTTGCAGCCCAGGCAAAAGCTTTACTGGTGGCATTACTGCCTGGGGTTGGGTAAGACGCCCATCTTGTATTGCCGGTCACTGAAGATCACCCGCAATCCTTCGCCCCCTACAAACATACCTTTGCCACAGGCTGAGGTTTGAAGTCGGACTTCAGGACGAAAGCTTTTAACAGGGCTAGGAAGAATTAAATAAATGTGTGTATTTATCTACTTCCTTTTGTGTCTTTCGGTTGCAAGTTACAGGAAGTCATCCCAGAACAACCCCTTGTTCGGCGACTGAAATTGTGAAGGTCTGAACAGGGGGAAGGGAGAGATTTACAACAGGTCCTTGTGTAGTTGCAGCCATTACAACATCCCTAGAGTCACATACAGAGCAGTTGTGGCTTGCTACCAGTTTGCTCTGGTTCAAGTGAACCTGTAGCAGTGGGAGGCTCTGCCCAGCCAGCCGGGCGTCATCAAATACGCCCTGCGCATGCACGCAAGAGAACCGGTAGCAAAGATAAGTGAAACTCCACCACTGGTACAGAGTGTTCCCAACTTATCACAGTTCATTTAGTGACCAAAGTTGCAATAGCACTAGAAAAAGCGGGGTGAGGAGACTTATGATCCATTTTTTGCACTTGATGACCGTCGCAACACATCCATGGTGACATGATAAAAATTCATACACTTGGCAACTGACCCATGACGGTTGCAGTGTCCCGGGGATCACATGGTCACCTTTTGTGTCCTCTTGACAAGCAAAGTCAACTGCAGTGACTGCACTTAACAACCGGGGTTAAGAAAGGTCGTAAAATGGGGCAAAATCACTTAGCAATGGGAATTTGGGGCTCGGTTGTTTCAAGTCAAGGACCACCCACCCGTATGTGCGATTTAGGAGCTGGACAACTGGCTTGCGATGACAGTATTGCAAGCATGCCAGACATGTGATGCCCATTTGCAAACCGGCTTCTGCCCAGCAAAGTCATTGGGGAAGCCAGCAGATCATAGTGACTATGGGAATTGCATGAGATTTACCTAACAACAGGAACTGGGACTGCCACGACTGTTGTAAGTTGGTGCAGTCATGGGATGTCACACTTTACGACTGCCACATAGCGATAGCATTCCCGGTCCCAATTACCATCATTAAGCAGTGATTACTTGTATTCCAGTTCCGAGAAAGTAATGTTGGATTTTCCCATGAAAAAACATGGGGGTGGGGGGAGGTTCGCAGGACGAAGAAACTCGTGTCGCATCAGTCTGGTTTTCTCCACTTCAGAAAAGTTTCCATCTTGGAGATGGTTTACATGACATGTTGTTGCAGTCGTTTGAACCCTGTATCTTTACATCCTTCATGGAATTTACCATATTTTTTGGAGGATAAGACACACTTTTTTCCCTCCTAAAAGAGGGTGGAAATGATGGTGCGTCTTCTACACCAAATACAGCCATTTTTGGCCTCCCGAAGCCCCACCCCGCTCGTCCCATTTTTGCGGAAAATGAGCCCGTTTTTCGCAAAACCTGTGTTTTTGCCCTCCCCCAGCCCTCAGGAGCACTCTGAAGGCCTCCCAAACCCTCTGCGTGCCCCGTTTTTTGCCTGTTTTTGTGAAAAATGGGGTGTGCTGAGGGTTTGGGAGGCCTGCAGAGTGCCCCTGGGGGCCGGGGAGGGCAAAAACCTTTTTTTTCTTACTTCTTCAAAAGTGCGTCTTATACACCGGTGCATCTTACAGTCTGAAAAATACGGTATCTGACAACAATCAGTTGATACTTTATTTAAAGTTCTGAAGCTAGGGAGATGACAGTTGTCGAGGGGGCTGTAATAGAGTGAGGTTGCTCAAGGGGGAAGGAGATTAGCTTAGCACATACCATATTTTTCACACTATAAGATACACTGGACCACAAGACGCACATTAGCTTTAGAGGAGGAAAACAAGAAAAAAAATCTGCCTCTGCCTCCCAGCATCCATCTGGTATTCATCTGGCTAGCGTCTTTGCAACAAACAGCAAACAGCCTGGTCAGCTTCAGCACGTTATTGCAGCCCCAGCATGTGGCTCGTCAGGGTTCCGCTCCGTTGCGCCCACCACCGGTAAACTCAGCTGAGCTGCTGCCACCACTGGGGAACGCTGGAGCCTTTGCTGCCGAGCAGCTGATTGGCAGTTGGATCGGCCTCCCAGAATACCATCGATCAGCTGTTCTAGGCGGTGGGGATCATTGCTGCTTGCCACCACTATTCGCCGCAGTGATTCACTTAACAGTGGCAAGAAAGGTCATAAAATGGGGCAAAATTTAACAACTGTCTCGCTGAGCAACAGAAATTTTGGGCTCAATTGTGGTCGTAAGTCAAGAACTACCTGCATTACATAACTTTGGCTTTCCTCAACCTGGTGCCCATTAGCAACAACAGCATACCAATTCCAAGATACTTCGAGGGCAGTATAAGCACACGACACTTGTTTTCAGAAAACAAGATTTATTTTTAGCTTTCAAAAAAATAGTTCGGAGGAACAGTGCAATATTTTTTTTCCCCCTCGGTCCTACAAAAGTATAATTTTAAATATTATTTTTATTAAAAATCACCTATTATTTATAAGAGATAGTATTAACAACTGAGCGCCCCAGACATACTTGAATTGCATAAGGAAAAATTTAAAAACCTCTGCATAAAATTGATTTTGGCACCATACTCAAAAGACATAAAACACGATTTTATCGGTATCGGAGGCTCAGATTTTTCTTCCAACTGGTTGACCTAGATGTGTGAAACAATTCCCATCGTTTTTTGAATAGCAAGATCGATAACTGCACCTGAAGACACTGAATACATTTGGAGGTTGCCACCTTGAGGAAAGCTATTGTAGAAGTCTAAAGCAGCTTTTTTTATCAAGCAAGACACTTAACCCGCAATGCGTCTTAATATTAAACCGGGCTCCAATCAAAATATGCTGAAAATATACAACGGTGGTCCTTTCGTTAAGCCTAAAATGAAAGTTCTGTCTAAGCAACACTACCAATAAAAGAGAATAGTTGTTCCTCAGGGTTGAAAGGAGGGGTTCTTGGTGCTCTCTGAGCTTGGTTGTTTTCTTGCAAACGTTTCACTACCCAACTAGGTAATATCAGTGCTAAATCAGTGACCTACTTTGGGTAGTAAAAACATCTGCAAGGAAACAACCAAGCTCAGAGAGCACCAAGAACCCCTCATCTCTATCCTTTTTAAAGTGAAAGCTTACAAAAGTCATGACTTTTATCACAGAATTCGCTGATTGGTTAAAACGGAGCCAAGATTAGATGCTGGGAATTGAAGTTTTAAAACAGTGAGAAATCCTGCAAGGAGTTTCTCTCGTAGCAAAAGACCAATTTATTTGGAGTAATAATTCCATCTCGAAAGTCTTTCGCTCTCTCATAGCTTAGGTCGGTCCTATTGCATGTAGGGTGTTAGCTTCCTGCAAGCAACTTCACATTTCCGGAATGGAGAGAGAGAGAGAGAACTCCAATTATTGAAGGGAAGACAATCTGATCCAAAGATGAGATTCATCTAATATTAAGGAAACCTGGGGAAAACAATAACAACAACAATGCCTCAGGCTTCAGGACCGAAGCATTTTGCAGGGTCCAATCTTTAGTTCTTCGTTCCTGAAGCATTTCCTCCATGGTCAATGGCCACAAAGGCCACGCCGATCATTTGATGTTCAATATCTGAAGGCAACTGGGTTAGATCAACAACACAAGAAGGAATCATCCACCAGGCTGGCTCAGAAAGTAAAACTGAGAATGGCCTCTGAAAGCTTGTTCAGGTCTTGGCAGCAAGGTTCTCGGATGAGCACAAAGTCCACTTTTCGGTCTTGTCCTTCAAAAATTTCCAAAAGCTTGCTCCTCAGCCACTCCGTCTCCTCTGTGGAGCGAAGCTTCTCCTTCTCGATGGGGCTGTCCTGCCGACCTCTCCTGTAGTCTCCTACTGAACCGGCGGGAGGCCTCCTGTCCCTGAGTTGAAGGACCTCTGTCTGCGCAATAGGACGTGATGGCGTGAACAGGGGGGCTGGCTGGCCGTTGAAAGAGTGACAATCGGGATATTTGGTTCTGCAATAGAGAGAGGGTGGGGGGGAAAGAAAAAGGAAGAAAAATTAAAATTCCGCCCTGGTTTTGCAAGAAATGGAATGGAATGAATTTCAGTGGTGAAATTCAACTGGTTCTATCCGATTCGGGCGAACTGGTAGTGCTGGTGGTGGGAAGCTCCACCCACCTGCCCAGACATCATCACGTCCCGTTTTTGATCCTCTGCACATGCGCAGTGTGGAGGAGGTGTGCACGCTCACATTTCCGAACTGATAGCGAAGGTAAGTAAATTTCACCCCTGAATGGGTGCCTTTTTTTTTTTAATCAGAGTTTCTCCATTAGAAGTAGCAATTTGCTTATTTTTAACCAATTATTGGTTTAACCAATTATTTTAACTAATTATTTTAATTGGTGGCTTGTTAGATGGATGGCAGACTCTGCTTCCCTTCCCCCACTTGCTTTCTGCTCTCTACCCAACCATCTTTTTGGTTATCATATTGATGTATTTATCCTCGTTGTGTTCCTTTGTCATTGTTTATTACTCTGTTCTTTTACTTCTGTTTATCCAGCTTTTCATTTTGCTTCTTTTTTATTGTTGTAAGCTGCCTAGGGTAGCTCCATAGCGAGATAGGCAGCAAATAAATTTAACAAAATAAATAAGAAAATAATTCATCCAAAAAGATAAGCCAGTGGGAGTTATGCACCACTGGGGATTTCTCAGGGTAATCTAAGCAGAATTTAAAACAAATTAATAGAGATTGACAGAGTTGACAGAGTTAGTCCAACCCCCCACCCAAGTTGGAGACCCTACACCATTTCTGACAAATGGCAGTCCAGTATCGTCTTGAAAGCTTCCAGTAATGAAGCTCCCACAACTTCTGAAGGCAACTTCTGTTCCTGTTCTGTTGATTGTTCTCGCTGTCAGAAAATTTCTCCTTATTTCTAGGTTGAATCTCTCCTTGATCAGTTTCCATCCATTATTCCTTGTCTGGCTTTCGGGTGTTTTGCGAAACTGCTTGACCCACTCCTCTCTGTGGGAGCCCCTCAAATACTGGAACACTGCTATCATGTCTCCCCTGGTCCTTCTCTTCACTAGACTAGTTCCTGCAACCGTTCCTCATATGTTTTCGCTTCCAGTCCCCTAATCATCCTGGTTGCTCTTCTCTGCACTTTTTCTAGTGTCTCAACATCTTTTTAATAGTGTGGTGACCAAAATATTGGATGCAGTATTCTAGGTGTAGTCTTACTAAGGCTTTATAGAGTGGTATTAGTACCTCACTTGATCCTGATTGTATCCCTCTGTTAATGATTGTAAAACAAATTAGCAAAGGAGTTGAAATACTTCAGATACCATAATGGAACCTGGGATGTTTTGGACTGAGCAATAATTGGAAGGTGAGACACGAAGGAATGACAACAAAGGATTGGTTGTGGCAACTTAAAATGTCAGGCTCTTCCCACTTCTGGCCATAAGATGGAGCTCTGCCACTATTTATCACCACAGAAGCCAGAAGTCCTTCAACTTGGTTGCAACCAAGAATTCTAGGGACTGTATGTCTATGGAGATTCTCAGTCATCCTGGTCATGGTTGTCCCAAAGGTGCTTTTTCAAGAGGCAACTGGACTTTCTGGGTTTTCTTTGAAGACACTGAAGAAGCTTCTTGGATAAGAAGCGAAACGCCTACAAAGAAAAAACAAAAAGTCCAGGAACAGTAATTTCTGTAGAATTAGAAAAAGGGGAAAGGTGGCAATTGGGAAATGTTTGGTAGCGACCGCCACCACCTGTTCCCTGCCATGTTTTGCTATCCTGCCATTCCAGATCTGTTTTTCACTACCAAGCCGTAGTCTTTAGAGTTAAGACATGTCCATTGTGGTAGCAACCAAGAGCAGCCTATGATTCTCAGTTGCCATGCAAAGCTAAGCTTGGTTAATGCTTAGATTATGAAGGGAATCTCCTGCTTCAGAGAGATTGCTGACTCATAACTGACCGAAGGCCACTTCACCGGCCACCCCAAGATTGCAAGCTAGACCAGAAAGTTGAAATTCGTCATGAACAAACTGCTTCCTTGTGGTTGTCGAAGAAACCGTAGAAACCTCACCGTGAGGTTACTAGAAGTCAACTCAAAGGAAATTTTAGCTTTAACCTCACCCAATGGCACTTGCGTAGAGGAACAGGAAGAAGTCGCAGATTATGAAGTTGGACAGAAACTACTTGGGCATTGCGGCCAAGAAACTTGAAGAATTTTTGAAGGATTTAAAATTGTTTTTTTTAAAAAAAAAAAAAGTTTTGCTTTCACAGGAGTTGAATCTGAATTCGATATCTATTTTAGGTTCTGGAGATGACCACTTGATTGCTAAAGTATATAAAATATTAATAGTCAAGAGGAACCTGGAAGATGAATGTGTAAAAAAAAGTCTCTGGTAAAACGGGCCAAAAATTTTGGGTATAATATAAAGTTAGATAAATGGGAGAATGTACGGAGTAATGGATTAAAACGTACTTTGAATTATAGTTTGAAAGAAACACAGGTAAAGGTAAGGTTCCCCTCGCCCATATGTGCTAGTCATTCCCAACTCTAGGAGGCAGTGCTCATCTTCATTTCAAAGCTGAAAAGCCAGAGCTGTCCTAAGACTTCTTCGTGGTCATGTGGCCAGGATGACTAAACACCAAAGGTGCACGGAACATTGTTACCTTCCCACCAAAAGTGGCCCCTATTTTTCTACTTGCATTTTTTACATGCTTTCGAATTGCTAGGTTGGCAGAAGCTGGGACAAGTAACGGAGCTCACCCCGTTATGCGGCGCTAAGGATTCGAACCATTGAACTGCTGACCTTTCGATCGACAAGCTCAGCATCTTAGCCACTGAGCCACCGCATCCCCTAAAAAAACATGCCCTCCCATAAAACCCCCAAGACTTAAGTTCGAGGAACCAAGATGGCGCAGTGGTTAAAACGCAGTATTGCAGGCTAACTCTGCCGACTGCCAGGAGTTCGATCCTGACTGGCTCCACGTTGACTCAGCATTCCATCCTTCCAAGGACCATAAAAGGAGGACCCAGATTGTTGGGGAAAATATGCTGACTCTGTAAACCGCTTAGAGAGGGGCTGTAAAGCACTATGAAGCGATATATAAGTCTAAGTGCTATTGCTATTGCCTGACTCAGAATGAAGCTATTTACTTTCCATCCAACTACAAGGCGTTGGGTTTTCAAATGTAAACCTATCCTGGTCAGAGTAGCTCAAGGGATATATTTGTTAGAAGCGGATCAGAAATACTCACTTTGTTTTTTTCTTCAGGAAGTCTGCTAAGGTAGGGCCACTTCGTCCTAAGGGGTCATCCGGCACCATAAATATGTTCCCCACAAAAGTGTACTGCAACAAGCTGCACAACAGAAAAACCAGAGAAAACGTTCATACATTCTGCAAAGCGACAATCTGGTTTGGCAAATTCAAACGGGTCAGGTCCACTGATGGTGCCAAGTCACAAATGACGGCTTGCAAGCCACTCGACACACTAAACCACAAACAAGTAAACCAGCTTGGACTTCCTGCAATTTGCAAATCCATCCAGAGAGTTAAGAAAAAAAAAAATCAACCACTGAAGTGTCCTGTCCCCCCCACCCCCCCAGCCAAGGATTCAGCTGACGTGTCAGCCTAGTACTGTTGAGAAACACGGCATTCTGGTCCCCTTATGATCTTGAACAGCTAAGGTTAAATGTATAGGTATAGGTCAGTGATGGCTAACCTTTTTCTTGCCATGTGCTGAAAGCGTGCACGCAAAAGTGCTTGTGTGTTTCGGCACGAATAATGCAATGCAGGGGGCCCTGTGCATGCATGCACGACCCCCCCATGCTCTCCCCCCACGCATGCGCGTGTGACCCCGTGACCCCCCATTTTGGGTCTAGTAGGCCTCCCTGCAGCTTCCTGGGCCCAAAAACAGGCTGTGGGGGGTGCCCCACACCCCATGCTCCGCCTGCCCCGGTGAATGCACATGCTCCTCCCGCCCCACACACACACATGCACGACTCCCGCACATGCATGCATGTCTCCCACATGTGCCCCGCTCCCTCACGCATCCTGAAAATCATCTGGTGGGAGGCGTGCACCCATTTGCGGTGGAGCTGAGCTGGGCAACAGCTCACGTACCCGCAGAAAGGACTCTGCATGCCAGCTGTGGCACGTGTGCCATAGGTTCGCCATCACGGGTATAGCTCCTGCTTCAGCTTATTCCAACTTCCAACTTATTCTGAAAATGTTAACTTTCAGTAACCTCCTGAAAGCAGCCATTTTAGAAGCAACAAGAACATTCAATATACATTCAGGAGTAGCCAATTTTCACAGACCTCCTCAGCACCTTCAGATTAAGCCCTAAAATTCAGTCACTGAATTTCAACAGCAGTTTGTCTACTTTACATTCCAAATTAAGAGGGGCCCCTGAGAGCGGTTATGGGGCCGTTCCCATCACCAAAAGGGCTGCACAGGTAGTCCTCGACTTACGACCACAATTGAGCCCCAAATTTCCATTGCTGAGAGAGACAGTTTTTAAGCTGGATTCTGCCGCCATTTTAATTGCCTTTCTTGTCACGGTGATTAAGTGAACCGCTGAAAGTTGTTAGGTTAGTAACACAGTTGTTAAGTGAATCTGGCTTCCCCGTTGACTTGGTTTGTCAGAAGGTCACAAAAGGGGATTGTGTGACCCCGGGACACTGCAACCGTCATAAATATGAATCCGTTGCCAAGAGTCTTGAATTTTGATCTCTTGACCAGGGGGATGTGCAATGGTAAGTGTGGAAATGTCATTTTTTTTTCCAGTGCTGTCATAGCTTTGATCGGTAACTAAGTGAACAGTTACAGTATATAAGTTGAGGACTAACTGTAATGTTTGGCATTGGTTTGGCCTCTTTTTTTCTCCTTGAAATTGGGTAATTGTTCCCATCCCTATCCTTAACACCCACAAACCACTGAAAAAAACACTCCCTTAAGGGCTTATTTCTGAGAAGGAAATGGTGGGCGTATCAGGAGAAACATACAAGTTGACTGAGGTAAGAAGGAGCTACTTAAGTGTGAGGGATGGAACAAGAAAATCAAGAATGACTGATTGTTGAATGAATCATCATCTCCTTTTTAACGACCCCATTAATCCCTTGCGGGGTTGGAGTCTGGCCAACTGAATGGAGCTGAGGGTGTACTGGCCGGATGCCCTTCCTGTCGCCAATGACTGGTTGTTGAATGAATGTGGACTGGATACGGGTTAACAACTCATTCAGAGACAGTTCGAAGTTATGACAGCGCTAAATAAGTGGCACTCGCAACCTGTCCTGCATGTTCTGGCCATCCCAGCAACGCTTGAATCAGGTGATGGGGATTGTGGTGATTCACTTAAGGACCAGGGCAAAAAAATGGCTGCAAAATTGGGTACAGCCATGTGATGCCTCTGTCAGCGTTCCAGAAAAAAACCCAACTCCAAGTAAAGACTCTGAAGCGAGCATCTTTCAAAGTTCTATTTACTAGAATAGGTAAATTGGCACATCTGGGAAAACCCGAATCTGAGAGGTCCGGGTTTTCCCTCAGTAAATCAAAAACCCCAAAACCATCCCCTCACTCCTCAGTCGATCACATGCTCCAATCAACTGCCGTCCCATCTCGAGACATCACTCCGACCATTCCTTCTCCAGATGCAGGATCACCCTGACCTTGACCGACAGGAAGAATGCTATTATGTCTACAGACAACCCCTCTACTAAATCCCCTCTCCTATTTTCCCACACAGGAGAAGGTGGCAGCATGGAAACTTCTGGCCTAATATGGCTTCCAAAGCTGACAGCCTCGCTTAACAAGCACACCACTGAGTCGAGACGAGTAAAGTCGAGTCGAATCGAATTGAATTCCATATTGGCCAAGTGTGATTGGACACACAAGGAATTTGTCTTTGGTGCATATGCTCTCAGAGTACATAAAAGGACAAGATACATTCATCAAGAATCACAAGGCACAACACCCAGTGACAGTCATACAGTACAATAAGAATCAAAAAAATATCAATATAAATCGCAAGGATACAAGCTACAAATGGCAAATTTTCCAGTCTAAAATGTGGTGGTCGGGGACATCCAATGTTATCATGTCTCCAAATAGCTTCCTGTAGCTCTTGAAAGCCACCTGAGCCCTCAAGGAAAGCTAATATAAGGTGAGAACATTTCCTATCTGTAGGCAAGATATAAAGACAAAAGAACCGAGATTAACAGAATAACATAGTTGGAAGGGACCTTGGAGGTCTTTCTTCTAACCCAACCCTCTGTCAGGGAGGAGAACCTATACCATTTTAGACAAATGGCTGTCCAATCTCTTATTAAAAACCTCCAGTGTTGGTGCACCCACAATTTCTGGAGGCAGAATGGTTAATTGTTCTAACTGTAAGGAAATTGTTAGGTTGCTTCTCTCCTTGATTAATTTCCATCCATCGCTTCTTGTCCTGCCTTCAGGTGCTTTGGAGAATAGGTTGAACCCTCCCCTTCTTTGTGGCAGCCCCTCAAATATTGGAAGACTGCTATCGTATCACCCCTAGCCCTTCTTTTCATTTATTTATTATTTGAAGAGGAAGGAGGGAAGAGAGAAAGGGAGGGAGGGAGGGAGGGAGGGAAGAAAGGAAGGAATTTTCCCAATAATTGCAATACAGAAAAATTATGGGAAAACTATGGCAATGTAGTTATTAATAAATAAATCATTTCTTCTTCCATTGCACCATTTCAGAGGGGACCTCAATAGCTGAAGCTCCATATTTGAATAATATCCTCTAGAAATAATCTTCTAAAACTGAGTGGGGGAAAAGCTTTCCAATGCTCATCCTAAATTTGTTCCTTCCCTCCTTTTTTTCCCCCCTAGAATTTCAGGACTGCAGCCTGAAGAGCATTTCCCCCCACCACGCTTGTTTCCAAAATATAAGAGGAAAATGTTGAGAGCACCAGAGCATGGCTGCGTAGGTGCGTTTGGAGAAAGATCTGCGTTGTGTGGGAAAGCGGAAAGGAGATACGTACAAGCGAGGGAGTGAAGCAGCTGTCAAGCTCAGGAGGTGACTAAATGGTCAAGGAGGAGCAAAATTTGGACTTCACCAAATCAGCGCAGACCAGCCAAAAGGGGAAGCAGATCCCAGCAGTTTCATGCTCCAGCAGAAACGCTGAGGAGCTACAACCAGCCAGGCATTTGTGAGGCACCTTCCTTTTCCTACTCCAGCACTAAATGAGAAACCATCTGTCACAACCAGAGGTGAAATGATCCCGATTCGGACCGGATCACCTGATCCGGTAGCGATGGCGGCGGGTGGTTCAGAGAACCGGTAGCAAAAATCCCTGCCCCCCCCCATGACCAGCTGAGCTACGCAATCCTCAGACGCTTTTTTTTACTTTTAAAAGTGTTTTTTCTTCAGCCGAAAAATGCTTTTAAAAGTTAAAAAAAAAAGCCTCTGAGGATCGTGCAGCTCAGCTGGGATCGTTAGAGCCTTTTAAAAGCATTTATTTACAACCTCTTCGACTGAAGAGATTGTAAAAACTGCTTTTAAAAGTCTCTGACATATCAGGCAACTCAGCTGGGATCGTCAGAGCCTTTTAAAAGCATTTTTTCTACAACCTAAATGCTAAACTAAAATGCTTTTAAATGCTAAACTAAATGCTAAACTAAAATGCTTTTAAAAGTAAAAAAAAAAAGTTGGCCATGCCCACTCAGTCACATTACCTCCCCCCACGAAGCCACACCCACAGAACCAGTAGTAACAAATTTTACATTTCACCACTGGCCACAACCCTGAAGTGATCATGGCTGAGGCCATCTTGGAGGCTATTCAGGGCTGCCACACAACGGGGGGGGGGAGGGGAAGGGGGGCGGAAATAGGTAGTTAGATGGGGTTTGTAGCCAAAACAATAAAACTTTCCTGTGGGAACCCAAGGACATTCCCACAGTTGGCTGGCCAGAGGAGGGGCGAAGTAACCAAGCAACAGGCCAGCTCCTGGATTGGACAGCGTGACCAGTGACTTGGGTGGGTGGGGGAGGGGAAACGTTTACTTTTAATTAAGTGAAAGCGGCGGGAACTTTTAGAGTCAGCTTTCACCAGTTGTGCCAATATCATCATCTTTTAATGACCCCATAATCCCTTGCCGGGTGGAGTCTGGCCAACTGAATGTTTACTGGCTGGATGCCCTTCCTGTCGCCAATGTGGAGCTATGTTCAGCAGATCAATTCCCAAAATGCCCAGAGAGAGAGAAATATCTGCCTCTACCCAGGATCAAACTCATAACCTCCTGATTGTGAGGCGAGAGTTCCACCTTTAGGCCATCGCACCACTCACCAGTTGTGCCAATATGATCTACCCAATAAAAAAACTGTTCTTTGAGAAACCCTGGCTGCCTCAGAGTTCTAATTTCTATGGGTGCATTACTTGGAACGCTGACACCAGCATTTCAGCACTAATTGAGAATTTCAGCAGACAGCAACAGAAACCAACTTGAAGGTTGCTAAATGTTGGCTAAAGACTGGCTGTAGGCTCTCATGACCGTTTTTTCACACTTTACGTCCGTTGCAGCATCCCCATGGTCACGTGATCAAAATTCAGATGCTTGGTAACTGACCCATATTTATGACAATTGCAGTATCCCGGGATCACGTGATCCTCCTTTGAGGCCTTCTGACTAGCGAAGTCAATGAAGGAAGCCAGATTCACTTAACAACCGTGTTACTAACTTCGCAACTGCGCTGATTCACTTAACATCTGCCACAAGGAAGGTCGTAAAATAGGGCAAAGCTCACTTAGCAATTGTCTTGCTTGGCAACGTAAATTTTGGCCTCAGTTGTGGTCAAGGACCACCTATACATAGAATCATAGGGCTGGAAGGGAACCCAGAGGTCCTCTAGTCCAACCCACTGCTCAAAATAGGAGATCTTATATACCATCCAGATCAATTGATTACTCAGTCTACTTTTGAAAACCTCCAGTGATGAAGGCAGGTAGTGATCCAGTGATACCCACAACTCCAGAGTAGGAAGTAAGTAGTTTTGTTAATTGTTTTCTCAATTAAGGCCTCCCAGGAGAAACAGAGGGAAGATATTTATTTATTTTATTTATTATTTAAATTTTTATATCGTCCTCCTCCTGAGGGACTCAGGGCAGTGCATAGCCACAATAAACACATATATCCATAAAATTAAAAACAGTTTAAAAACATATTAAATAATTTGGCCCTATATTAAAAAACTAAAACACCCATTAAAATTCGTTCTTAAGCCAGCCCAGCCTGTTGAAACAATAAAATCTTAAGGGCACGGCGAAAACTACGTAGGTCAGGGATCATACGAATCTCCAGGGGCAATTCATTCCAGAGGGCAGGTGCCCCCACAGAGAAGGCTCTCCCCCTGGGGGTCACCAGTCGACATTGTTTGACCAACGGCACCCTGAGGAGACCCTCTCTGTGGGAGCATATTGGCCGGTGGGAGGCTATCAGTGGCAGAAGGCGATCTCATAAGTACCCAGGTCCTAAGCCATGGAGCGCTTTAAAGATGGTAACCAGCACCTTGAATTGCATCCGGAAGACCACTGGGAGCCAGTGCAGCTTGCGCAGGAGCGGTGTTACATGGGTGCGCTGTGTCGCTCCCATAGTCACCCGCGCGGCTGCATTCTGGACCAGTTGGAGCTTCCGAGTGCTCTTCAAGGGGAGCCCCATGTAGAGAGCATTACAGTAGTCGGGACGGGAAGTGACGAGGGCATGAGTGACCATGCGCAAGGCGTCCCGGTCCAGAAAGGGACGCAACTGGTGAATCAGGCGAATCTGATAAAAAGCCCCCCGGCCACAGCCATCAAATGATCTTCTAAAGACAGCCGTGCATCCAGGAGGACACCCAAGTTGCGAGCCCTCTCTGAGGGTGCCAAGATCTCACCCCCAATAGTCAGCGATGGAGCCAGCTGGCTATACCGGGATGCCGGAAACCACAGCCACTCGGTCTTGGAGAGGTTGAGTCTGAGCTAGAAACTGTCTGTCTGTCTATGGTTTCTACCACTTCTCAAAAGACACCCCCCCACACACCAAGCTTGGATATTTCAAATGTAGAAATAAAGGACTCCTGAGATTAGTCCTCATTAACATCTTAGTTTTCATGGATGACATGCTAATTAGTGGAAAGGCATTGAAATGTGTAATTTCCCTCAGACCAAACCAGAAAGTGTAGTCCCAGGAGACCATATCAAACGCCTCTTTCTGGGTTGCCTGTTCTTGAAACCTGATTCTTGAGGACAAACTTCAGCTTCCTTGACTCACTCAACTTTTGTATATCAATTGTCAATCAACATACCTGACAGGAAGAAGTCCAAGTCTCACCCTATTTCTCCCCACCTCATTCAAGCACCGTCTAGAACAGGGGTGGGGAACGATGGCCCCTTTATGACATGTGAACTTCAACTCCCAGAATTCCTGAGCCGGCCATGCTGGCTCAAGAATTCTGGGAGTTGAAGTCTACAAATCATAAAGGGGGCGTGTTTTCCCCATCTCTAATCTAGAAGTTCCTTCCAAAAAAAACCCCCCTAAGATTGCCTCTTGCTCCACCCCACTGAGCCCCCAAATTCAAGAATCCATTTTCACCTCTCCTTGATTATCTTCATCCATCTCTTCGATTCTTTGGCAAGATCCCGGAATTGGTCATTGGTGACTATCACCCCATTGGTCTGTTCTGCTAGTTTCAGCATCATTCTGCAGTCCAATGAAAGACATGTAAAAGAAAAGCAATTCTTAATTAATTAGGATAATTTTACCTCTTCTGTTTCAAAGTTCTCAAGCTTTCTTTGAGGAGAGGTTCACATTGCCACATTGCCACATTGCAAAAGATCTGGAAGAGTAAAGGTCTTGTCTAGGAAGCACACTTGTCTCTCCTTTTACAGCCATACCAACAACACAGGACAATCTCTTTTCAGAGAACCGGTCTACCATTATTGATCCATGAGTTACTGAGATAGCCACGGTGTTTGCAACCACAAAGCCGCCAGGCTAGGAAGCAAGAGATTGTGAGTTCAAGTCTTGCCTTAACCATGAAAAGCCAACTGGGTGACTTTGGGCCCAGTCCCTCTCTCTCAGCTCAACTCACTTCTTAGAATTGTTGTTGTGGGGAAAGTAGTACTAGGAAAGTATCTGTAGTTATCTGTAAACATAATAAAGGCAGGAGATAGAAAGATGATAGATAGATAGATAGATAGATAGATAGACAGATAGATAGATAGATAGATAGATTAGATAGATAGATAGATATGGATGGACGGACGGACGGACGGACGGACGGACACAAAATCACAAGAGTACGTCTGATTTACTTTGGCCACGTCATGGGTGCCAATTCATTGGAGAAGTCAATGATGCTAGGAATACTTGGTGGAATAAGAAGAAGGGGCAAGGAAAGAACTCACTGGATTGATACCATCAAAGATGCTGATATGAAGATGAGCATCCAGCAGCTGAAAGAAGCTGTGCCTGGTAGGGTGACGTGGAGAGCACTTGCCTACAAAGTCGCCAAGAGTCGTACAAGACTGAACGATGGAGAATGAAAATGAGAATAAACAAAGAACCTAGGACCGTGATGGCGAACCTATGGCATGCATGACCAAAGCGGCACGCGAAGCCATGTCGCACGGCACGCACGGCCTTGCCTGTTTGTCAAAAATCAGTGTGTGCATGCACGCTGGCCAGCTGATTGTCGGGTGCCCATGCATGCTAAAACCCAGATGTTTGGCTCTTCCAGACCGTGATCCCTTCGTGCGGGCGGCAATGCCAAAAATTGGCCTGCGCGTGCACACCGGCCAACTGATCATTAGACATACATGCATGCTAGAGCCCGGAAGTTCCGGACACAGCCCTATGAGTGTGCGTGTATGTACGCGGCGTTTCCACACGACTTTTTCTGTATCCAACAAGAAAAGAAAGTGCTGGAATATCCAAGATGGCTCACACCTATAAGTTATGCTTCTTTCAACTAGTTCAGCTAAACAGTTAGTATACACTATACTAAACCATAATAGAGCTTAGCAAGATAGGAAAACACAAGTTATCTTCCTATTTCTTTTCAAAGACCTTTAGAGTTAGAAGGGGCCATTAAAGCCAAAGAATTCAAACTCTGCGCAAAATTCCAAGTTCATATTTCTAAGATTATTTGTGAGGCAAGAGAGCCATGAAGCATTGTAAATACGGTGGTTCCTTGATACCCATCGTTAATTGGTTCCAGAAGGCACGATGAGTATCAAAAATGATGAGCACCAAACAAAACTTTCCCCACAAAGAATAATGTAGGAAGTCATAAGGCAGCCGACATCGACAAGTTCTAGCTTGTGACCAAACAAAGAAACGAGTACCAGGACAATATTTTCATGTCAAAATGCACTGAGTACCAAATTGGATGGATTTCAAAGCAGCTGAGTACCAAAGTACCACTTAATAAACCTACCATATTTTTCGGAGTATAAGGCGCACCCTTTTCCCCCCAAAAAAGAGGATGAAAATCTTGGTGCATCTTATTCTCCGAATGTAGCCCCGCCCAGCCTCTCAAAAGAAGATTTCAGAGGCTAAAAAAAGCCTCTGGAAGAAGCTTCAGAAAAAAAACCTCAGAAATGAAGCTTCAGAAAAAAAGCCTCCAAACAGAACTTCAGGAAAAAAGCCTCCGAAACAGAGCTTCGGAAAAAAAGCCTCTGAAACAAAGTTTCAGAGGGTTTTTTTTCTGAATCTCTGTTTTGGAGGCTTTCAGAGGCAGAAAAAAAAGTTTCTTCTGAAATGAAGTTTCAGAGGCAGAAAAAAAAGCAAGGCACAGAGCTCACAGCCAACAAACCTGTTGCTAAAATTCGCCTCTGGGAATAACTGATTGGGGATATTCCGGGAGGCCGATCCACCCGCCATTCATCTTTTTATTTAGTTTCCTCCCCAAAAACTAAGGCACGTCATATACTCTGGTTCATCTTATACTCTGAAAAATATGGTAATACGGTATTTAACTGTAATAAATTCTGCTGTCTGTTTTAATGCCCGCAACAGGTTTTTTGTTCCTTAGTATGACAAGGGAATTTGACTCCCAAATTAAATCTGCATTATGTGTCTGATCAGTTGGCAGAATCATTTCCTGCTTCTGTTGGGTATCTAGGGCTCATGTGACCAAAAAAAGAAAAAAGAAAAAAGAATGAAGCCATTCACTGCCTTGAAACTTGGAAAGCCCTGGGGAAAATCCCATTACCAGTCCCTGTAAAAGAATGACTTCATTATCATCCACCGGTCTGCTCAGCAAATGTTGAAATAACTGGGCAATTCTCAAAAAAAGAACAACCAAAAAAAAAAAAAAAAAAAGCACGTTGTTTGCTCATGTTTATTTCAATTTCCCCAAATTTGGCCACAAGCAATATTTCCTGCCCAAAGAAGCAATTTGAAATATTTTAAAGGTGGAACAAATACTTTAGGTCCCTAGTGCTCTCTGAGCTTATTTTCTTGCAAACGTTTCATTATCCAAAGTAAGTGACATCATCAGTGCTACTGATCCATTCCTTATGAGCACTGATGACGTTACCTAGTTTGTGTAAGAAAACGTCTGCAGGTAAACTACCAAGCTCGGAGAGCACCAAAGACCCTTCATTTCAATCCTGAGCTACAGATAAAATACTCTCTTGTTATGACCCTGTAATCCCTTAATTTGGGGTAGAATCGGAGCGACTGGATGGAGTTGAGAGTTTACCAGCCGGATGCCCTTCCTGATGCCACACAGTGTTCACAGCAGATATTTTTTCTTTGTACCTTAGGAAAGAAACATTTGCCACTACCTAGGATTGAATTCTCAACCTTCCGAGTGAGAGGTGAGCGTCTTCACCATTAGGCCACCATGCACTCATCCCAGAGATACAAATAGTCCCCTTTATGGGTATCTTAAGATATCATAAAAGCTTGCTCCTTGGCAGGGGTTTTCTTGTTTTTGTCGTAAGAATATAGTGTATTCTTACGACAAAACAAAGTAACCAATTTTGATTCTTGCTATTAATCGAATAACACTGAAGCCCTGAAGACCTTTCTTTTTCAGCAAGCCGTGCTGGCTTAACACTTTTTAAAAATGTTTTTAATAGGTTTGTTATTCTTCTTTTAATTATAGGGCCAAACATATATATATATCTTTTAAAATTGTTTTTGTTTGTATCTATGTTTTTTACTTTGGCTGTACACCGCCCTGAGTCCTTCGGGAGAAGAGCGGTATATAAATTTGATAATAAATAAATAAATAAATAAATATAAATAAATAAACATGTTTCAAAATTCCCATAGCCAACAGCAAACTGGCTGCAAACACTTCCCTACTATGCAACACGAATATAAGTGCTTGCACACACATACACAAACTGTTACCCTATCTACTTTTCTGATCGAAAGATGGAGGAATGACCTGTTTCAAATTTTGCCATTTTCTTTAATACAGAAGGAATTACCGTATTTTTTGGAGTATAAGACACTCCGGAGTATAAGACGCACTTTAGTTTTTGGGGAGGAAAATAAGAAAAAAAAAAATCTGCCTCTGCCTACCAGCATCCATCGGTATTCATCTGGCTAGCATTCTGTCAGTATGTGAGAGGGCTGAGGACTGTTTGGAAACTGAAACAGTATTTGCTGTGGAGACAGCAAGGAGCCTGGGCGTGGCTTAGCTCAACTGTTCTGTACTAAACCTACATGCTGTGCTGATCTCTGAAACTGAAACTGAAACTCCTCTCCTCTGCTTGTGTTTTGTTTGTATTTACTACCACATTGGAAAACCTGCTTTTGGTATTGTATATTTACTTCATGTATTATATTATATATAAAGAGAAGTGATTGAATCCTGCTGAATCATTTACTTGTGTGTGCTTTCTGGATGTGATTGCTGCCTCAAACTCTGACACGTTCAGGCAGCAAATAGCGAACAGCCAGGTCAGCTTCAGCACATTATTGCAGCCTGATTCAGCATGAGCAGCTGATTGGCAGATGGATCAGCCTCCCGGAGCACACCCAATCAGCTGTTCCAGGCTGCAAGGATTGCCACAGACCATCACCTCCTCCATGCCTCACATTTTTGGCTACATTCAGTGTATAAGATGCACCCAAATTTTCACCCTCTTTTTTTGGGGTGGTGCATCTTATACTCCGAAAAATACGATAATAATGTCGAAACAGGAATGTCTGTTTTGTGTAAGTCCCTGTGTTAGAATTCTGTACTAATTCAAGCATTGATCTCAATGAATAAATATGGATGAGAGGCAGATCAGTAGCTTTATCTTATTCTAAGTCACCTTTCTGAATTTGCCCCCACCTTAAATCCATTGTTGTACATTTGCCATCTAAGAGTTTCAAAAAAAACCCAAAAGGCTTAAAAAGCGGGGTTCATTTTCAAAACCCCAAAGTTGTGTTCTGACTTCATTGCTTCAGCTCATGGGCACATTGAAACGGATGTATTCGCTGGTGAACAAACAACCGAAGAAACCTTGTACAAGTCAACTCATACAAGGTTACTACAGGTAGTCCTCGACTTACGACCACAACTGAGCCCAACATTTCTGTGGCTGAAACAGTTGTTAAGTGAATTTTGCCCCGTTTTATGACTTTTCATGCAACAGTTGTTAAGTTAATCACTGCGGTTGTTAAGTTAGTAACACGGTTGTTAAGTGAATCTAGCTTCCCCATTGACTCCGCTTGGCACTGGACACTGGCAGGGTAAGCTAATGGATGTAAACAGGGAACAATCCCCGCACTTACTAGCATGGAGGACGTTACCTAATTGGGTAATGAAACGTCTGCAAACAACCAAGCTTTTTAAAAGCACCAAAAACTCCAGAAAACACTGATTGCTTTTAGTAACCAATCCAACAATGGAGCTCACCTGTCATCATATGGGACAATGCCTCTCCCGTCGATTTTCCGGGATGGTGTAAGGGACAGGATGCTTAGGTCATGCAGTTCAGTCAAAAAGTGCCTCTCTGCGATTGGTGAAGGGGTAGGGAAACAGGCAAAAATAATAATAAAATACAATGGTCAAAATACACCAGTAGATTTGCTCATTGGTTGCAGCTCAACGCAAATGAAGTACCACTAGATGTAAACGGGGTGTCTTCCTTAAATTAATCCATGAAGGATTGTAGCAGTAGCCACCAGAATGGTCGAAGAATTAGGGCGGCTCAGATCGAAATCTTTAGCCACCTTCAATTTGTGAATTTGATTGGCTGATAAGTTCTACCTTCAGTCTAGGTCAGAGGTCAGCAACCTACGGCTCTGGAACCGCATGTGGCTCTTTCACCACTCTGTTGCAGCTACCTGTCACTCAAAATATGCGTCACAACCGCCAATGTGCAACACCCACCAGCACGCAATTTATTGAGCTTTTCAAGCCCCGGTAGACCAACCATGGATGAATCCAAGAAAAGAAAAGTTTCAGAAGAAAACAGAACATTTAATTCAACTACATATGCTAGTTTTGTGGGCGCTCAAGAAATAGTCAGGCACGGGAAGGGTTTTTGTGGCTCCCGGTGTTTTCTTTTCTGTGGAAAATGGGTCCAAATGGCTCTTTTGAGTGTTTAAAGGTTGCAGACCCCTGGGCTAGGCATCTGAAGGGCTGATGAGTTCCACCCTCAATCTATGCATCTGATTGGCTGATGAGTTCCACCCACAATCTAGGCATCTGATTGGCTCCTTGATCTCACAAGAAAATGGAAACGGTCATGGGGAGAGATGAGTTCATTCAAGGTATAAAAATGCTTGAACATTCCACGTTGTAACAAATTAGTGAGTAACTATTTTTATTACTAATCTTCACTAGAAAAGCCAGGGTAAGGACATCTAGCTTCCCTTTCCCTAGATTATTAGACCGGTACAAATGCCTCTGTTTAGATAATGCTGGTGGAAGTCCTCCATACGACATTTAAAAAAAACCAGTGTTTCCATTTTTATTCATTTGCAAATACATAGATCCAATAGGTTTTTTTCAGCCATCACGATGGATTAAAATGCCTGCAGGGAATCAGCCAAAACATGGTTCAGCTCTTTGCTTTTGAAAACAAAACAACACACACAAAAAAAAGCAAAAACTTCCCACCTCTCACATTAGAATCTTTTTCCATTCGATAAGCGGGCACTAAGACGTTCACTTCGCGGTGGCCTCGGTCCCAGAAATATTGCACAGCTAGGGCAATTCCTCGGCATGAGAAGAACTGGTTCAGACCGTGCCTGAGAACAGGAAACAGGTAGAGATTTAGATCTATGAAAGTCGAAGACAGGGGTGTCAAACTCGAGGTCCGGGGGCCAGATCTCGCCCGCGGGTTGATTAGATTTGGCCCACAGGGCCGCCCTGAAAACAGCGGTGCCTCTGCCAATGAAAATGGGCTCCCGAGCTCCGTTTTTGGCTGTGCTGGCCTCCTTCAATCCTCTGCCAGGGAAAACAGATCTCAGGAGGGCAGCGTTTTCGCTGGCAGTGCTCAGGCCACCACAGGCACCAATAAGAGCCGAGGTGGCGCAGTGGTTAGAGTGCAGTACTGCAGCTACTTCAGATGACTGCGAGTTCAGCAGATCAGCGGATCAAATCTCACCGGCTCAAGGTTGACACAGCCTTCCATCCTTCCGAGGTGGGTAAAATGAGGACCCAGATTGTTGGGGGCAATATGCTACTTAGTATACTGTCTTTGGTGTAAGCCGCCCAGAGTCCTCGGAGGGTGGGCGGAATAGAAATATGACTAATAAAAATAAAATAATAAATAAAAAATATGAGTGACATCGAGCTGGCCACGCCCACCTCAGCCATGCACATGGCCCTCCCGAGCTCTATTTTCGCTGGCAGATGGTTGCATGATTTGGTGATTTTATATAGGGTATTATTATGTTTCCCTGAAAATAAGACCCAACCGGAAAATAAGTCCTAGCGTGATTTTTCAGGAAGCTCATAATATAAACCCAACCCCCCAAAATAAGCCCCAGTTAAAATTGTCAGCCAGCATTTAGTACCGTATTTCCCCAAAAATAAGCCTTAACCAGAAAATAAGGCCTAATGTGTCTTTTGGAGCAAAAATTAATATAAGACCCGGTCTTATTTTCAGGGAAACACGGTAGATAGTCATAGTGGTCAGCAATGTATCTTTCTCATGACAGCTACAGAAAAATAGGAAGTGGATGGGGGCTGTGGTGATAAAAATTGGATTTTTATCAGACTTTCTCCCTCCAAACCCAACTCACATCATGGCCACGTTGCTACCATCAATAATGACCATCCGCAAATTCTTCTTCCCGGGTGTATTGGCCAGCGTGAGCTTGAACTCAGTCTGGAGAGCTTCCTCAAAGCGCTGAGCTCCCGTTACTGTAGAAACAGAAGCCTGGTGAAGAGCTTCCATGCTGGTGCTTTCTGCTGACTGGATCCCCTCAGAATCCGATAGGGAGGACAAAAAATTAGCAGTGGGAGAAACTCCAGGATTACTTGCTGAAACATGGTTGTGATTCGAAAATGCACCATTCCACCTTTCCTCTGGATGAGTCCTCTGCGGAGAAGATTCCCTGTAATTCAAAATGGTTGCCCTCTGGGCGCCAAACTGACCTCCTTGTTCTGGCTTCATTGGTGATCCCCCTGTCGCACTCTCACCTTCGCCTTGGCGTTCCCCTTTCTCGTTGAGCTGCCTCAGGAGACTTGCCAACGGGGCTCCTGTTTGTATTTCTGTGGGGATCTTGCTGGGACAATGGCCACAGTTGACCACTGCCGTTTTGATCAGTTCCTTGACATAATTGTTTTCGTCGTATGGGTCTTCCAGAGACAAAGCGGCGAGACCTCGTCGTTCAGGCTCTTCCTGAGTCGGGGAGGTATCTTTGTTTTGAGACAAGCCTGCTGCCATCATCTGGACTCTATCCAAGATAGTTGAAGGGGCTTCCTGAACTCCACCCTCCAAGAGTATCTTTTTGACCACACGCTCCTCGTAGCCCATCGTTTTAAAGAAGTTTAGCCTCATTTTGAACTCTTTTTCAGTCCACGATGACAGCAAAATGTCGGACGTTGCCTCCTCCCCCTCAGTGGTTTCCTCAGGCAAACTAATGGGACTCGATGCTGTTTCCCAAAGGGGGTTCTTTTCTTCTGCCCGATGATCCTCCAAGCTTTCTGTGAGGCCTTTGTATCCAGGTAGATTCTGAGTCTCGGAGGTAGCTGGAATCTGCTTAGAGAAACTCTTGGAAAGCTCAGAATTCTTAGCAGTCATGGCCTCAAGCCAATGCCGAGGACCATTCAAGTCAGACAGATGTCCCTGTGGCTTAGGGTGAAATTGGGCCTCATCGGAACTTCTGGGAAAGTCATCCCATGGGATGTGAAGATGTTTTTGGTTTTGAGGTTTCGCCTCCACAGCAGGCAAGTCAGCCCTGGCATCCCAAAGTCTAGCTGAGTACGGTAGTTGCATCAAATCTCCAGCTTTGTGAAGAGATTCTTGCGGCCTGGTAAATTCCACAGGCCAGTCAGACCCAGAGCCTCTAGTTCTATTCTGTTCCTGGATTTGACTGAGTTCTTCAGGTATGTCAAAGATAGGCTGAGGCCGATCTGGAGTCCCAGATCTGCCACTATTCACAGCATTGGCTTCCAACCCCAGTGAACTATCTCTCCCAAAACTGGACGGTGTCCTGTAGCCATTCCTTTGTCCCTCCGTGTCTTCTTCCTGAATCTCCTTGACCAAACCAAGCAATTCCTCTTTGACTGAGGTGGGCAAGATCAAGAGATCCATGGCATGTTTGTCATCGTGTTTCTCCACCAATTCCCGGAAGGCCCGTTTGACTTGAGCTTCCCGTTCTTCTGGAAGCTTAGGGTTCTTCTGGTGTTTCCCCACAAATTCCTGGATCCGGCTCTGAGCCATGACAAAAGCTTCTGCCAACCCTGAGATCAGCAGGGTACCCGGGTGGAGAGAGGTGAGGTTCGCTGATGTCCCTTGAATGAGGCAATCCAGAAACAACCCATGGGCACCTAAGAAGATGCATTGCAGGTCTTTAGGATACTGTACTTCCTCCTGAAGCTCTGGGGCACAAAGACCTTTGATGTATTCCTGGAAAACACGAAAACATACAATATAGTAATTCTATATATGTCTGAAAACAGGGGTGGGATTCAAAAATTTTTAGCAAGGGGTTCTCTGCCAGGTTGCTGGGTGGGCGTGGCCATGGTGGGCATGGCCTAGACGGCCTCCTGCACCATGGCAGGGGCGGGGGACGTTTTTGTCCTTCTGGGGCTCCGGAAGCTTTCCTTGAACCTCTGGGACGGCGAAAATAGTCTCCCCAGGCTCTGGAGGCCAGAAACGGGCTCGTTTCCGGCCTTCCCGAACTTCCAGTAGGTCCATTTTTCGCCCTCCCCGAGCCTCCCTGTGCGCCCTGCACTTACCTGCATCCAAAACGGGCTGCATGGGGACTCCTGGGAAGGGCAGGGTGGGGTGGGCGTGGCCAGCCAGGAGTGGAATTTGGGGGTTCTCTGAACTGCATAGAATCTTAGCTTCCTGTGAAAAATGGGCCTACTGGAAGTTCAGAAAGGCCCTCCAGAGGGCCTCTGGAGCCTGGGGAGGCCGTTTTCACCCACCTGGAGGCTCGAGGAAAGCCTCAGAAGTCCGGGGAGGGCAAAAAAGCCCCCCACCCCCACCATGGTGCAGGAGGCCGACTGGCCACACCCGCCATGTCCATGCCCACCCAGCAACCAGGCAGAGAATCCCTTGCTAAATTTTATTTTTTGCAAAGTATTTTTTTTATTTTTTCCTTGCTAAAATTTTTGAAGCCCACCCCTGAGTAGTAGTAATAACAACAACAACAGTTTCTGAGCCAAGCTTTGAATCTATTCATGTGTATTGTTTCAACTACTTCAAATAAGCAATATTCGCTTAGAATATTTTTGGAAAACTAAGGAAAACAACATTGAGGCAGTCCCTGCACTGTGTCAAGTGATCCTAGGAATCCTTGCATAAGCAATTTTTGTCCGCACTGGACTGCACAGAATTACAAAGTACAGCATTACGTAAATAAGGAACTGCCTCTGTTTATACAGCAAAGATAAAGCAAATGGTGTAATTAAGGAAATACAGTCAATCAAATTTAGAGCATTGGAAATTCCTCTATTTTTTTCCCCAAAAGCTTTGCGCCCTTTTCCTGAAGCGAAAAAATAAGATGAAAATTGTTCAGTCTGAAGACACTTTGGTGAAGCAGATGGGAAACTATGCTAAGTTTTGAGGGCATGAGTCTCACCTGCTTGACCAAGGAGGAAATTTCTTTGAATTAAATAAGTTTTTTCAAAAGGCCAGTATAAGATGCCCTGTTATTTAAGCTGGATAGTAAATCCACCTTGGGCTTTCATATTAAACATTTCTCCCCAAAGTTGGAGGAAAACACACCAATCAGTATTGTCCCAAAAGTTCTTTTCAATAGGCAATTGGACTTTCTTGGGGGGGAAAGGGGTCTGTGAAAATGTTTCGCTTCTCATCCAAGAAGCTTCTTCAGTTCTGATTGAATGATGGATGGAAGGATTTATATTCTTTGTAGTCATCTGGTCATGAGCACTAAGTCTTGTTTGCTATTTAGCTCTGTTATAAGGAAAAAAACCCTTAGTGGAATCTCCTTCAAGTCAGCCTCAATTCATAGTAGCTTCAAGGTTGAACCCAAGTCATTTTCTTGGTAAAGCAGCTTTTCCAATATCCTAACCTAGTTTACAGACCTCAGATTTCCAAAAAGCATCCAAGTTTTTCCAACTTCAGATTCAGATGACCATCGTTAGCTAAGTCAGGGGTCACCAACCTTTCGGACCTCAGGGACCACTAAATTCATAATTTTAAATACCGCAGACCACTAATATGATCTGCCTAATGACTGGCTGGGGAGGCATGGCTAGGTGGGCATTTGACTGGATGGGCGTGGCCAACTCGATGTCACTCACATCGAGGGGCACCTCGCCGGCCTCTACTCGCCCCTCTCCTCCCAGCCACTCCTCGCCTGCCAGCCCGGGCTCCTTAGGGCCCCAACAGGAAGCAGTTGTTGGAGCTAAGCAGCCACCACGAGAAAGAGTTGGCAAAACAGCTGGCTCAGTTCAAATTGGATCTGACCGAGAAGGAGGTTCAGCACAAGCACCTCACTGAGAACTACGAGCATAGGCTTTCCAAGCAGAAGGAAATCCTGTGGGAGTACAAGGCCAGGTACAGGCGCCTGGAGGCTCAGTGGGCTGAGATGGTCAGCCAGTTCCAGGCCATGATGCAGTCCCACTGGAACGAAGCCCTCTGGGCTTTTTGCCACCAGCGGCACTTCCTTCCAGCCTTCGCCCAAAGTCCCATAACAGGAGGCTGAAGCAGACCCCAAGTTGGAATTTTTCTGTCCCCCTCCGACCCATACAAAAAGACCCCGAAGGGGAGACTCTCTGCAGTAACACAAATGTTCATTGCACATATCCAGCCCAGGGGCCGTAGTATGAGGACCCCTGATTAAATGCAATATTAAAAATGCAAATAATTTTTCCGAGGACCACCAAAATTTTCTCACGGACCACCAGTGGTCCACGGACCACCAGTTGGTGACCACTGAGCTAGGTGACAGAAGTTAGGAAACAAAACCACCAAGTAAGGCCTTGGGAAAAATTGCTGCTAATCAGGCTGAGTAATGTCTTCTCATGAAATAACACTGGCCTGCAGTGTTAGAGAGGACTACAAATCTCCAGGTAGCCTGGAGACTTTTGTTTCCACAATGGCCAACATGAAGACCATGATAAACTGCTTTTATAGGCATTAAACCTGGATCGGGGATCAGCTGCTTGCCTAACCTTTGCCCTGTGAAGATTCTCTTGCCTTCCCTGCAACTGCAACCAGATCTTCCTTGCTCCTTTGGGGTCCGATCCCAGCACCCCCATGACATTCAGCTCCACCTGAAAGAGGCGCTCAATCTGGGGACGGTGTTGCATCAACATCTCCTGGGCCTCCTCGGCCACCGCAAATTCATCCAGGATCGTGCTGTTCGGCATGATGGAAGCCTGCGTCTGCCAGCTGTTGAAGACCCAAATCGCTACGTGGCTAATAAGCTGCGGGGAAGAGAAACCGGGCTGATTAAAAGGGCCGTGGGTGAGAGATGAAAGCAAAGTGAAAACTAAGGAGCAAAAACACAACAGATACAGCTGCTTTCCAGTCCCTTAGTAACCATGAAACATCAACATCTGCATATCCCACGGCCTTGGGAAGGACACAGCAGACTGATAAAAGTGCCAAATCCAATCCATACATCCAGCTGAATGTGCAAAGCCTAATAACATTCAATTCTCACTAGGCTCAAAGTTGACACAGCCTTCCATCTTTTCCGAGGTGGGTAAATTGAGGACCCAGATTGAAATAGGCTGACTCTGTAAACAGTTTAAGAGAGGACTGTAAAGCACTATATAAGTCGAAGTGCTATTGTTATTCAAGGTCCCATGACTGAAAAAAGAAAGGAGGGAGGACTTAGAATAGAGGGGGTGGCAATATTCAGAAGGGCTGACCAGTTTGATGAAAAGAAGTTTGATGAAAAGATGGACTAGGGGAGACATGATAGCAGTGTTCCAATATCTCAGGGGCTGCCCCAAAGAAGAGGGAGTCAAGCTATTCTCCAAAGCACCTGAGGGTAGAACAAGAAGCAATGGGTGGAAACTAATCAAGGAAAGAAACAACGTAGAATCAAGGATAAATTTCATGACAGTTAGAACAATTAATCAGTGGAACAACTTGCCTCCAGAAGTTGTGAATGTTCCAACACTGGAAGTTTTTAAAAAGAGACTGGAGAACCATTTGTCTGAAATGGTGTAAGATTTTCTGCCTAAGCCAGGGGTTGGACTAGAAGACCTCCAAGGTCCCTTCCGACTCTGTTATTCTAATTAGCTGCCCCCTCCCATAAGGATGCATTACATTTCTTTTCTCTCTCTCTATTTGCAAACTGCAACTGGATAGGATGATTTACAAACTTCAGCTTCTGTGCTAATAAGGGGGCTCCTGTGAAATAAAGCTGCACCCTTATCGTAAAAATTACCCCTTGGAGTTGAAAGAAATCTGCCAATGGTGCTGACCTGCAACCTGCAATAGCGAAGGGTATGCAAACAAGAAAGAAAAGTCTGTAGAAGTCAAATTAGGGGTTTTTCCCACATGAATAAGTACCCTGTTTTCCCGAAAATAAGACCCAACCAGAAAATAAGGCCTAGTATGATTTTGCAGGATGCTTATAATATAAGACCTACCCCAAAAATAAGCCCCAATTAAGATCGTCAGCAGACGAAGGTGACCTAACCGGAAAAGACCTAACTGGAAAATAAGCCATAATGCGACTTTTGGAGCAAAAATTAATATGACTATATAAATAATATTTAAAAAATTAATATAATTAATTAATATAATATAAAAAATTAATATAATTTTATTCTGGGGGAAACACAGTAGTCTATTAATGCTTGACTTCATCCAAATCAGGTGTCCAACCTATGGTCCATGGGACATATGTGGCCCCGCACAGTCAGCGATGCAGCCCCACAATAATTTTAAAAAGATTATGTTATTTGTATACATTAACTATTTTAGATAGTTTATATGCAGCCGAAGACAAGCGGAGAGGTTGGGCACCCGTGTTCTAAATGTTTAGCTTGAAGAAATAAGTTTCAATTCCCGAAGCCTACATAATGCTGATCTCATCTTCCAGGAAGTGGGAGGAGGGAAAAAAGGCTTGACTTCAAAGACAAATACAATAATTATATTATGCAGGTAGTGCTCGACTTACAACCATTCATTTAGTTCAAAGTTACAACGGCACTGAAAAAAGTGACTTATGACCATTTTTTTCATCCCCACGATCACGTGATCAAAATTCAGATGCTTGGCAACTGGTTCATATTTACGGCCGTCGCTGTGTCCCAAGGTCCTGTGATCCCCTTTTGAGACTCTTCTGACAAGCAAAGTCAATGGGGAAGCCGGACTGACTTCACAACCGGGTTACTAATTTATCAACTGCAGTTGATAAAATTATTGTTCCTTTTAACAACTGTGGCAAGAAAGGTCATAAAATGGGGCAAAGCTCACCTAACAAATGTCTCGCATAGCGACAGGCTCCATCGTGGTCGTAAGTCGAGGACTGCCTGTATAATATAGTGATCGCAAAGCAAGGAAAAGGAAAAGGCCCTGTCAAAAGCATTGACAGGGCCTATGTAAAATAATCTTCAAAGGACAGAATCAGATTTAAAGGCCCCGCCGGAGACTTTGGGCTAATTGTTTCCACTCATGCCAACCTCTCTCACGGAGGCTGTGTTTTAAGCTTAAAATTTCAGTATATTTGTCAGATTTATAATCCTGCCTTTCCTCAGGGAGATCAAAGGGGAAGGCAGACTCAGTTAAACAATCAGCTGGGGATGTCAAAGGTTAAAAGATCAGCAGTTTGTAAATAAAGAAAGAAAATGTAAACACCGAAGGCCACCTTCAATTCAGAGAACAACATAAAATAACAAGAGTTGGAAGGGATCTTGGAGGTCTTCTGGTCCAATTCATGGTGGCCAGAAGGATCCACTAAGGAAGCTGCCCTTCATCCCACTGGATTGGGTATCCACTCAGAAGGTGGGGTGGAGGAATTCCTGGCCAACTGGAACGTAAAAAGCCAGGAAATGCGAAAACACGGGCACTTCCATGCCAAGGGGATTTCTCACTTATTTTTATAACTGTGCAGCAAAAGCGAAAGGAGAAACCCAAACAACAACAACGGTGTTTTCACCGAAAGGACAGACCAAATAAATATCCTCAGGACAAAAGTACCGTCAAGCCATAAAACAGGAATCTCCCACCGGAGAGGGGACCTGCGTCCTAACAGCAAAGATCACCCCCACCCCAAAACTCACGCACACACAAAAGAAAAGAAGAGAGACAATGACAAGCACAGGGAGATCCCAAAGTTGTGAATTGCTCCAACACTGGAAGTTTTTAAGAAGATGTTGGATAACCATGTGTGTGAAGCGGTGGTAGGGATTCCTGCCTAGGCAGTGGGGGTTGGACTAGAAGACCTCCAAGGTCCCTTCCAACTCTGTTATTCTATATTCTTCTTGGCGAAGCAGCCTTGGCTAACGATGTGCCAGCCACACACCCACCCCACTTTGCGGTGAAAAGTGGGGGGGGCATTTTCTTCTCTGCCCCGACGATCTGACCGAAGAGAGACCCCCCCTCCACCGCGCCGCGCCCCCCAAACTGACCCCCCATTCGGTTCTCTTTTGGTCCTCGGGCTCGCCAACCTAGGCGCCCCCGCGCCCCAACACGAGCCCAGTGGGCGGTTGGAGATCCTGCCCATGTCGCCATCCAGATGACTTGGTGAGGGGGGGGGACAGGGATTTTCCAAGCGCCCCCCTCCCTGCAGCCTAGCACGACCCTCCCCCTTCCCCATTTGCAACAAAAGGGTAAGGGGGTGTTGCAAGACCCCGAAAAATAGAACGCGCGCCCCCGATCGTGCGCTCCGCCGGGCGCCTTACCCGCTGGAGTCGCCCAGGGAGCCCCCACAACGCCGAGAACCACCACTCCATCCGTTCCCATCGCTGCTGCTTCTTCCGCGCTGGTGTTTGGGGAGGGGGGTAGAGAGAGAGAGAGGAGAGGGGGGGTCTCTTTCTTCTGCCCTGACCCCACCCGCGAGAGAGACCACCTCCACACACCCCAAACAAACGCAGCAAACCTGGCGCTCTCAAGTTTCAGCTTCCATTTTAGTGCCAAGCGGAAGCGCCCGACGGCTTGTGCAGAGCCGGAGTTTCCCAGCTGGGCGGCGCGTCTCGAGGTGGGGTGGGGGTGAGAAGAAGGTGGTGGCGGTAACTTCCTGCCCTGGCGAGGGAGAAGAGGTTTCTGAACATGGACAGAGTGCCGCTTCTCTCTCTCTCTTCTTTTCCCCGCCCCCCTCACTCTCTCTCTTCCTCGCCATTCTCTCTCTCTCTTCCTCTCTTCCTCGCCATTCTCTCTCTCTTCCCCACCCTCCTCTCATTCTTCCTCTTTTCCCCGCCCTCCTCTCATTCTCTCTCTCTTCCTCTCCCTCCTCTCATTCTCTCCCTCTCTCTTCCTTTTGCAAAGGTGCCTGGGTTTCTCGGGGCCCAATGCATATGATAAAATGTTAGAACTCATTCAAAAATTATTTGATTGCCCAAATTGTCTGTCTGTCTCTTTATCTATCATCTATCTATCCACTTATCTACCCACCCATCTATCATCCATTCATCCATCCACCATCTATCCAGTTACCTATCTAACCACCCACCCATCTACCATCTATCTATCATCTACCTACCTATCCACCCATCTTATTATCTATTATCTATCTACCCATCTACCCACCAACCCAATCATTTATCTATATCATCTATCCATCTATTATCTACCCACCCATCCATCCATCATCCTCTATCCCTATGTCCCCTCCTTCTCTCTCTTTCTGTCTTTCTCTTCCTTCTCCCCCTTCGCAAAGGCGCATGGTTTTTCTCAGCGCCCAGGCATCCAGCTGGGTTTATGCAATCACACAGTGTACTGACCAGGATTAGCTGTTGTAGTCTCCCAACGTGCAAATGTTGATTTTAAAGGCTTTTGGGAGGGGGGGGCGGTGTCTGCGTGAGTGATCATGTTGGTCCCTACCAATCCTTTCAGATGGCTTGTTCTTCAATGAATCTGTGACTCTGGGCAAAGGGTGAATTGAATAACTAGCTAAAAACTGGGTAAACAAAGTCTGTAAGTGGAATGGACACAAATACATGTGCCTCAACTTGAATGTGTGATTATACAGTATTGTGTGCATGCTAGATTGCCCCTGTAGGTAATTCTTGTTTTATTGTTTCTGCAAATGAATGACTTGCATTAAAAAAGAAGCTTCGTATAGGACCTCGGGGCTGCCAAAGTGTGCCCAATTGTGTGCAGAGTGGCCTTGTGGTAGCGGCCAGGATCCAGTCTCCACAAACCTCCGGCCATTGCCAATATCCCAAGCCGAGAACCAGCTTAGTCTAGCCTCAGTTTCCTGTCTGCAACCATTTTCTGCAGTGCTCTGGGGTGAAACTAGTTCAGGACACCGTGAGAAGTTTCTTAACCTGCAGACAGCTAAAATAACAATCCTCCACAAGGCTAAACAGAAGTATGAAATTTGTTGAATGCCTCACAGCCCCTTCCTGCCTTTTTGACGTCACTGCATTGCCGTGACATCCTGAGAAACCCCCTAAAAAAAACCCCCCAAAACCCCCCAAGAATCAGAAAGGATGTCGGCTCCTTCAGGAAAAAGTTAAGGTGCAAAATGCCCCACTTCTGGTTTCAATCAGCTATGTCGTAATCCAGATGTTGCATTTAATTTCCCTCCCTTCTTTCCATTCTTCGTTGCTACTGGGTTTCTGGAGTTTGCTCTGTGACATTTGTGGGGTTCCCCCTTCAAACCCTCTTGTACTTCTGCAAACCTCCTCCAGTTTATGAAATCCTCCCACCAGTAGAGATTCCACCCCCGCACCCCTATTTTTGGCAATTATACTTATAATCAGGGGTGGGCTTTTGGGGATTTGGGCGAACCTCTAAGATTCTGTGCAGTTCGGAGAACCCCCAAATCCCACTAGTCCCACCCGCCCCTCCCCTCCCAGCCCGTTTTGGATGCAGGTAAGTGCAGGGCGCGCACGGAGGGTCAGGGAGGGCGAAAAAAGGTCCTACAAGAAGTTTGGGAAGGCCAGAAACGAGCCTGTTTCTAGCCTCCAGAACCTAGGAAGGCCGTTTTCACCCTCCCAGAGGCTCAAGAAAAGCCTCTAGAGCCCGGGGAGGGCAAAAAGCCCCCCCCCCACCATGGTGCAGGAGGCCAACTAGGCCACGCCCGCCCAGCAACCGGGCAGAGGACCCCTTGCTAAAATTTTAGAAGCCCACCCCTGCTTATAATCCAGTCGTAATAGAGCTGGAAGGGACTGTGGAGGTCTTCTAGTCCAACCCCACGCTCAAGCAGGAGACCCTATGCCATTTCAGACAGGTAGCTGTCCGATCTTTTCTTTAAAAACTCCAGGGATGAAGCACCCACAACTTTTGAAGGCAAGCTGCTCCACTGGTTAAGTTTCCACTGTTAGGAAGTTTCTCCTTAATTCCAGGTTGCTTCTCTCCTTGATTAGTTTTCATTATTCATGGTTTTTCTTGTCTTGCCTTCTTGGTGGTTTGGAAAAGTGAAGAGCCTTGGTGGCGCAGCAGACTAAAGCACTGTTAATTAACACCAGCTGCCTGCAATTACTGCAAATTCAAATCTCACCAGGCTCAAGGTTGACTCAGCCTTCCATCCTTCCGAGGTAGGTAAAATGAGGACCTGGTTTGTGGGGGCCAATAAGCTGACTTTGTATAAAAAAGAACACCGCTTTGGGGGGGGGCGAAAGCTCTACTAAGCAGGTATTTACAAAAGTATGAAGGCTATTGCTTAATGCATTGTAAGCCGCCCTGAGTCTCCGGAAAAGGGCGGCATATAAATCGAACCAATAAAATAAAAAAAAAAATAATAAAAAAAAAGTTTTCCCTCTCTTCTTTATGGCAGCCTCTCAAACCCTGGAATGCTCAAATTTAAATACTCAAGTACTTGATGATCAAAAGTGGGGATTTCATTCCAAAAATTAGCAACCGTGATTCCACACACACACACACACACACAACAAATAAAAAAAATATATGGGCATTTGAGAAGGCTGCAAGAGCGGGATCGTTTTGATGTGTTCATCTTTCTTTTTTCAGAAATAAATTATTTTTTATCATTTACGGTCCTAGAGCAATCTGGGGAAATTTCACCTTAAAAAATTGAGGCGGGGGAAATCAGTAGTCTTGCCCACAGTCTCTGAACGTTTTCCCATTCAGCATCCTACAGGACTTACAGCCGTTCATTTCTGACGGTCTGAAGTCATAATGGCACTGGAAAAAAAAATGACTGATGACACTTTTTTCCCACACTTACGACCAGTTTAGCATTCCCCACGGTCACGTGATCACACTTGGCAACTGGCATGTATTTATGACGGTTGTAAGCATCCCGGGATCTGTGTGATATATCACCTTTTGCGATTCTGTTATTCTTTTGTTATTTTCTTTTATTCCTTCTGTAACTACAAATAGTCCTCGACTTGCAACAGTTTGAAGTTAAAACCCACCCCTCTCCTAGAAAAATGAAATATTTTAGGATATATTAAAAAGGCAGAATATTTCCCCTAAAAGAGAAGCAGAAAGTCAGCCCCCCACCTTCGTTAATGGGCCATTAAGGCCTGAGCCAGCTCATTCATTCCCCCCCACCTTTATCAATGGGCCATTAACGCCTGGGCCAGTCTATGCTACATAACAAAGATCTACCTCCTTCAGGCAGAGCCATTTAAATGCCCTTCATTGCAACCAAATTTAGCATACGGACAACCAAAAAAGGCTATCTATGATCTTTGACAGCAACCAATCAGGATACTCTTTCTGTGCCCCAGGAAATTCAAAGCCAGAGTGGGTATAAAACCTCAGGGACTCTCAGCATCGCCTCCCTTTTTTCTTCTTCACCCAACATCTTCAAGGCATGTGATCCATTAAAACCATCTTTCTAAGCAGTCACCATGTTTCCAATGTCTTTTTCCCCACTTGGAACTGAACCCTGATGAACATTTCTTCCAACAATTTCATTCATTTATTGATATTGTTTCCTGATTGCTTATTTGTACCCTATGACTATCATTAAGTGTTGTACCTTATGATTCTTGATGAATGTATCTTTTTATGTACAGAGAGCATATGCACCAAAACAAATCACACTTGGCCAAAAAAAAATTCTATTCTATTCCATTCCATTCCATTCCATTCCATTCCATTCCAGTGACAACTTACGGCAGTGAAAAAAGCGACTTTTGACCATTTTTCACACTTACGACCTTTGCAGCATTCCCCACAGTCACATGATCGAAATTCCGACACAACTGACTCATCTTTATGACGGTCACAGTGTCCTGGGGGGTCATGTGATCCCCTTTTACAACCTTCCAACAAGGCCAAGTCAATGGGGAAGCCAGATTCACTTAATTCACAACCCAGGTGGCTAACTTAAAAACTGCAGGGATTCACTTAGCAACTGTGGCCTGAAAGGTCGTAAAACGGGGCAAAACTTCACTTAATGTGTCCCTTAGCAACGGAAATATTAGACTCAATTGTGGTCATAAGGCGAGGACTAGCCATTCAACTTTTTTGTAGATTGGAAAGTTTAGTTTTTTTGTCTCCAATTATGGGACAGAATCGTGCAGAAAAATAGAAATCCAGAGCTTTGAAATTGAAAAAGTCAAGCATTACATGTGTTTGTTGAATCTCTAGGGAGATTCTCAGTCATCCAGGTAATGGTTGTCCCAACGGTGTTTTTTCAAGAGGTAACTGGACTTTCTGATTTTTCTTTGAAGATGTTTCGTTTCTCATCCAAGAAACTTAAGAAGTTGCCATCTTGAATGTTGGAAGAAATATCCTTCTGGGTTCAGTTTCAAGTGAGGAAAAAGACACTGGAAACATGGAGACTGCTTGGAAAGATGGTTTAATGGTGGTCAGGATCCTGAACAGGATGGTTCAAACCTAATGGTTTGAGTTCCTGAACAGAAAGGGGGCAGATACAGCGAGTCTCCGGGTTTTATGCTCTCTGGCTTTGAACTTCCTGGGGCCCAGAAAGAGTATCCTGATTGGTTGTCAGACTTCCAAGGGGTGGGGGTCTTAGCTAGCCTTGCTGGCTGATGTAATCTTTCTTGGTGCCATGTGGTGAGTTTCTGTCCTAGATGGGTCCCATTGTCTTGCAGATGAGGTCCTATTGTCAAAGATTTGAGTTTCTGCCTCTGGCCCATTAACAAAGGTGTGTGTGTGGGGGGGGAGGCAGGAAGGTGGGAGTTGCTTTGTCTTTAAAACATGTTTCTCCATTTCTCATCCAGGGAAACATAATATTCTGCCTTTTTAATATTTCCTAAAATATTTCATTCTTCCAGGAAAGGGGTGGGTGCTAACTTCCTACATGAAAAAAGCACCTTTGGGACAATTCAAGCATGGGTGGGTTTGTTTAGAAATCTTCCTGTATCAGTGGTGATTCTTTCCACTTTATAATCGTACAAGACTTTATTGAAGCAACTACTATCCATGTTCTTCAAGGCTTGACGGAATATTTCCCCTATTGGTTAAGAAAGAGAAGAGATGGAGACAAAGATTAATGAGTGTAAGGAAAACACGTAGAACCAGATAGCCAACATACCTTTTGAGTTCTTTCTTATTCCTTGAAACAAAGGCTAAAGGATTGTAAGAGGAGAAAAATGTTCTCCCCTATGTAGGAAGTTAGCACCCACTCCTCTCCTAGAAGAATGAAATATTTTAGGAAATATTAAAAAGACAGAATATTATATTTCCCTGGATGAGAAATGGAGAAACATGTTTTAAAGACAAAGCAGCTCCCTGCCTTCCCCCACCTTTGTCAATGGGCCATTAAGGCCTCAGCCAAGCTCACTCATTTCTCCCACCTTTGTCAATGGACCATCATCTGCAACACAATAGGACCCATCTAGCAACAGAAACTCACCACATGGCACCTGGGAAGATTACATCAGCCAGCAAGGCTACCTAAGACCCCCACCCCCTGGGAGTCTGACAACCAATCAGGATACTTTTTCTGTGCCCCAGGAAGTTCAAAGTTCAGAGAGGGCATAAAACCAAGGCACGCTCAGCATCTCAGCCCTTTTTCTGTTCAGGAACTCAAACCATGTGATCCTGTCCACCATTAAACCATCTTTCCAAGCAGTCTCCATGTTTCCAGTGTCTTTTCCCCCCCTTAGAGCTGAACCCAGAAGGATATTCCTTCCAACACCTGCTTTACCAGCTTTTAGGGGAGAACAGCATTCTCCGAGCTCTGCTGAAGCGTTTTGTTTCCATTCAGTGAATTTAACGTTGCTCATAGGAGATCAGGTCACAAAAGGGGAACACGGGACCCTGGCCCTGATCCTGACACTGCAACCGTCATAAATGTGAGTCAGTTGCCAAGCATCTGAATTTTGATCACGTGACCATGGGGAGGCTGCAATAGTCGCTAGTATGAAAAAAAACGGTTGCAAGTCTCTGCAAATGAACGGTTGAATGTCGAGGACTGCCTGTATATGTTTGCTAAGCGTCAGCCCTGATTTAATAACACATAATCAATTATTAATTTTGATCTTTCCGTTATACAGGTAGTCCACGACTTACAACAGTTCGCTTAGTGACCGTTTGAAGTTACAACGGCACTGGAAAAATCGACTTAAAACCTTTTTCACACTTATGACCGCTGCAGCATCTCCATGGTCACGTGATTTATATTTGGATGCTTACAACTGACTCTCGTTTATGACGGTTGCAGTGTCCCGGGGTGATGTGATCCCCTCTTGTGACCTTCTGACGAATCCGGGTTCGCTTAACAACCAGGTTACTAACTTATCAACTGCAGGGATTCACTTAACAATCATGGCAAGAAAGATCGTAAAATGGGGCAAAACTCAACGTTTCTCTTGGCAACGTAAATTTGGGGCTCAATTGTGTTCGTAAGTTGAGGACTACCTGTCCTTTGAGATGTTTGAAAATATGTATTCGAAAGCTGGAATGGCCATTAGGATTAGATAGGGTTGTTGTGATGCAGCTTGGCATTTTTAACATTTTTGGCCTGCTGTGATGAACAAAATTGGAAGGGATCTTGGAGGTAATCTAATCTAACCCTCTGCTCAAGCAGAAGGACTGACACCATTTCTGACAAGTCTCTTCTTGAAAGCCTCCATGAATGAAGCACTCACAACTTCTAAAGTCAAGCTGTTCAAGTGAATGCAAGTAAGAACAGTTTCCAAAACTTTCTTATTTTGCAGCACCGTTACGAATAATTACATTTTTTTAAACTAAAGATGGCAGGAATTGGATGAGCCATGATGGTGCAGTAGTTAGAGTGCAGTACTACAGGCTACTTCTGCTGCCTGCTGGCTGCCTGAAATTTGGCAGTTCGAATATCATCAGGCTCAAGATTAACTCAGCCTTCCATCCTTCCAAGGTTGGTAAAACGAGGATCCCAATTGTTGGGGGCAATATGCTGACTCTGTAAACTGCTTAGAGAGGGCTGGAAAGCACTGTGAAGCGTGCGACTGCTATTACCTGAACTGGATCTGGAAGCTCAGAAGCTTCCTTTTAGCTGCAGGCCAGACCATCCAAAATCGCCCCAGAAAGCATTTAAATAAATAAATATCGTATTTTTTTGGAGTACGATGTACTCCCCCCCCAAAAGAGGTAAAATTTGGGTACGTCTTATACACCGAATGTAGCCCCGCCCACCTGCTGGCCCCCACCCTTTGGCCTCTGCCTCCCAGCAATTTGCCTCCTTGCAGCAAACAGACCGTTTCAGCTTCAGATTCAGCACATCCTGATTAGCATAAGCAGCTGATTGTCGGTTGGATCAGCCTCCCGACTATCAGTTGTTTCAGGTTGCAGGGATTGCCATTGCCTATTGCTGCCTCCACACGCCCCATTTTCAGCCTCCGCTGTTTGCTGCAAGGAAGCAAATTGCTGGGAGGCAGAGGCAGTTTTTTTTCTTGTGCTAATCAGGATGCGCTGAAACTGAAACAGGCTGTTTGCTGCAAGGAGGCAAATTGCTGGGAGGCAGAGGCAGACTTTTTTTTCTTGTTTTCCTCCCCAAAAAAGGTAGCTGCATCTTATAGTTCAGAGCGTCTTATGGTATATTCTGCCTCTTTAGTACTTCTTTGGACATGTCCAAAAGGTGACTAGAACACGATCTCAACTCAAAACAGATTTCACCAGTTAATAAAATATTTGGGGGGGGGGGAAACCTAACACAATAAACCAGATAAATGCATTCAGGACATCTTGAGCACACAAGGACGTCAACAAGAGAGAAGACAGGAGATTTGATTTGCTTAACCATGATTTACTGAAAAATTCCACAAAGCGAAAAGCAAATAAACCGCACAATGGCCTCACATGTTGGGCTAATTCAAAGACTCGGGCGGAAGAGATCCTAAGTCAAGAGCAGACCTGTGGCCTTGGGGAAAGATCAGACTGAGAAGCTACTGAGCCCAGTGAAGCTCATGGGGTGGAGGGTTTCCTACCAGTTCCCCCTCTGGAAAAGCCCCCTTCTGCATCCTTGTCTCTGGAGATTCTCAGTCATCCAGGCCATGCTTGTCCCAAAGATGCTGTTTTTTTTTCAGACAGCAACTGGACTTTGTTTTTCCTTGAAGACATTTCGCATTGCATCCAAGAAGCTTCTTCGGTTCTGGCTGAATGGTGGAAGATGGAAGGGTTTATATTCCTTGCAGTCATCTGGTCGTTAGCGCTCTTTCTGAGAGTCATTGAGGCCACTTGGAAGTTTATCTGTATCATCAGGGTCACCTGAATCATGAAAATGGGCGTGGAACCTTCTCAGAACTTCCGAAAGGACTGTGTTGTAAACAGGAGATAGGTGGTGTTGTAGACTCTCCTTCCGTTGAGAGATGGCTTTTCAATCTTAATGTAGATGGCCTCTTTGACCCCTCTTTTGAACCAGCGGTCCTCTCTGTCCAGACTTTGCTGTCTTCAAAAGATGCCACACCACCTATCTCTAGTTTGCAATATAGTCCTTGCAGCAGTTCCAAGAAGGTTCTACACCAGGTGTGTCAAACTAGCGGCGTCACATGACGTATCGCAACTTTTTTCTCCTTCACCAAATCCGGTGTGGGCATGGCCAGTGCATGACACATCCGGCCCCTGAGCTGCGAGTTTGACAGCCCTGTTCTACACCCATTTTTACTATTCAGGTGACCCTGAGGGCACCGATAAACGTCCAAGGGGCCTCAACAACTCTCAAAAAGAGCACTAACAACCAGATGATTGCAAGGAATATAAATCCTCCCATCCTCAACCATACATCTAGAAATGAAGAAGCTTCTTGGATGAGAATTGAAACGTCTTTAAGGAAAAACAAAGTCTAGTTGACTTTTTTTTTTTTTTTTTAAAAAAAAGCACCTTTGGGACTGCCATATCCTTATTTTCTCTTTCCATGTCTCCTTCTAGATGACAAGCCCGGCATCTTAACCTCTAGGCCACTGTACCCCCCAAATAAATAAATACATTCAAAAGTTCGCCCAACATGAGAATCCACCACTGGTATATTCTCCACTCAAAGACCGGTGCGTTGTTTCACAGATACTATAACATTTTTGCTGCCCGTCCCGATTATCGTTAAGTTGTGGTAAGAGAACTTCTAGAAGATAACAAATCTACCATTTACGGGAAGAACCGCTGCAAGCTACTCCTCTTCTCCTCACAGCAACGTTTCCACCATGACATAGATTTTATTCTTTGGGAACAAGCCAATCTTTTTTTGAACAGAGCAACTTCCTGGGTTAGAAACTCCAGTGCTCAAAACAAACCTACGGCGTTACAAGTCAACCTACTTATAAGACTGAGCGTTGCGCCTACCCAGCAAGTATTAGACAAAAACGGAAACATGTTGACATGCAGCCTCACGCCTCCTCAGGTCAATCTAGGATATCCTGGAGAGCAGAGGAAAGATCAGGGAATGCAAACGTGTAGCCGCTCTCGAGAGTTCTCTTGGGGACAACCCGCTGCCCATCGAGCAGCATGGTGCTTCGCTCGGAGCCGAAAACAGCTTTCACTACAAAACCCGGCAGGGGCAAGAAGGCGGGACGTTTGAGCACCGACCCCATCGCTCGGGCAAAGTCCTCATTGGTGGTGTCCACTGCGGTCGGCGACACACCATTTAAGATGCCCCTGAGGCCCTCTTTCTGCAGCGCGTGGGTCACAATTCCTGCCAAGTCGGAGACGTGGATCCACGGGAAATGCTGGTGTCCAGAACCGATGGGGCCTCCCAGTCCAAGGCGGAAAGGCCATATCATCTGGCTAATGGCGCCACCATCTTTGCCTAGGACAGCCCCTTAAAGTAAACAGAGGTATAATTACAGAGTTACATTTCGCGTAGGCTTCCCATACACAATATCTGATGAGATGGGTCTATGACAATTCGCCACGGGCAACTCACCACAGCGATCTTTGCAGGATAATTCACTGTGGCCAACTCTCTGCGAGACAAGCGTTACACTAATATCAAAGAAATGGTGGGACAGAATCACTAAAGAAAGGAGGGACAGTTTGAAATATGAATGACAAAAATTAAAACATTTTTAAAGTTATTTTAAATAATTGAATTGATAATTGTCTCGCGGTGAGTTGTTCCGCAGCAAATTGGCTGTGGCAAGTTGGCTGCTGCAAGTTGGCCGTAACAAGTTGCCCAATTTTGACTGAGATGGTTCTCTGAAGATGGCCCAATGGAACAGATCTGTGTAACACACCAAGCTAGAAAACTGGAGTTCAGTGACACAGCGCAAGCCTAGCAAGCTACATTGTGGCTTAACATGTACAGGTAGTCCTCAATTTACGACCACAATTGAGCCCAAAATTTCTGTTGCTAAGTGAGACATTTGTTAAGTGAGTTTTGCCCCATTTTACAACCGTTCTTGCCACATTCGTTGAACGAACCACTGAAATGGTTAAGTGAATAACACGTTTATTAGTAAATCAGGCTTCCCCATTGTCAGGTCACAAAAGGGGGATCACATGACCCCGGGACACGGCAACCATCATAAATATCTCTGGACAGTGGTTGAGTGATCTCGAGATAGGGGATATAGTCATCGAGCCCTTGTCATGGTCAGATCACTCGTTCCTTCGCCTTGACCTTCGAACCGCGGCACCCCGCTGCAGGGAGGCGGAACCGGTAAGATGGTACCGCCCCAGGCACCTGATAGAACCTGATAGGTTCCAGATGGAGCTTGGGCCAATCCCGGAGGTTCTGGCTCACGCCTCATCTGGGGACCTAGTGGCCGCCTGGGATAGGGCGGCTGCTGGAGCCCTGGATCAAGTCGTGCCTTTGCGGCCTCTGACCCGGCGCCGATCTCGCCTGGCTCCTTGGTTCACCAAGGAGGTGAGGGAGATGAAGCGCCGGAAAAGACTGTTGGAGGGCTAGTCTTTCTGAATCTGACCGAACATTGGTAAGATCTCATATTAGGAGTTACCTAGTGGCGATAAAAGCAGTAAAATGTACTCATTTTACTGCTCTTATTGCGTCATCAGATAATCGCCCAGCCACCCTGTTTAGGGTGACCCGCTCCCTGCTCCACCAGGAAGCGCGGGAGGACCCCTTGGAGGGAAGAGCCGAGGATTTTGTTCAGTATCTGTATGACAAAATCACTCAGATTCGGGCAGGTCTGGACTCTGACGGGATAGATCCAGCGAGGGTAACGGAGACAGGTCTTGAGACTGTTATCTGGGATGAGTTTGATCCTGTGACCCCAAATGACGTGGACAGGATTCTGGGTAGATTGAACGTGACCACATGTTTGTTGGACCCGTGTCCCTCCTGGTTAGTGCTGGCTTCCCGGGAGGTGACGCGAGGCTGGTTCCAGGGGATTATAAATGCTTCGTTGGGTGAGGGTGTCTTTCCCACCGCCCTGAAAAAGGCGGTGGTAAGGCCTCTCCTCAAGAAGCCTTCCCTGGACCCGGCAGTATTGGCTAATTATTGTCCAGTCTCCAACCTTTGCTTCGTTGCGAAGGTTGTTGAGAGTGTGGTTGCGCGACAGGTACCCCAGTACCTGGATGAAGCGTCATATCTAGATCCGTTCCAGTCGGGCTTCAGGCCTGGGTACAGCACGGAAACGGCATTGGTCACATTGGTTGATGATCTCTGGAGGGCTCGGGACAGGGGTTGTTCCTCTGTCCTGGTCCTGTTAGACCTCTCAACGGCTTTTGATACCATCGACCATGGTATCATGCTGCACCGGCTGGAAGGGTTGGGGGTGAGAGGCACCATTTTACGGTGGTTCTCCTCCTTTCTCTCTGACCGGTCGCAGTCTGTGTTGACAGGGGGGCAGAGATCGACCCCGAGGCCCCTTATATGTGGGGTGCCGCAGGGATCGGTTCTCTCGCCCCTTCTGTTCAACATTTATGTAAAGCCGCTGGGCGAGATCATCCGTGGTTTCGGGGTGAAGTACCATCTGTACGCTGACGACACCCAGCTGTACATCTCCACCCCGGACCACCCCAACGATGCCCTTGAAGTGATGTCCCAGTGCCTGGAGGCCGTACGGATCTGGATGGGGAGAAACGGGCTCAGGCTCAACCCATCCAAGACCGAGTGGCTGTGGTTTCCGACGTCCCAATATAGTCAGCTGGTGCCATCGCTGGCTATTGGGGGCGAATCATTGGCCCCCACGGAAAGGGCTCGTAACTTGGGCGTCCTCCTGGACTCACGGCTGTCTTTAGAAGAGCACTTGACGGCCGTGACCGGGAGGATTTTTCATCAGGTTCGTCTGATTCGCCAGTTGCGTCCCTTTCTAGATCGGGACTCGTTACGCACAGTCACTCATGCCCTCGTCACCTCTCGTCTGGACTATTGTAATGCTCTCTACATGGGGCTCCCCTTGAGGTGTACCCGGAGGCTCCAACTGGCGCAGAGTGCGGCCGCGCGGGTGGTTATGGGAGCAACATGGAGCTCCCATGTAACACCTCTCCTGCGCGAGCTGCACTGGCTCCCGGTGGTCTTCCGGGTGCGCTTCAAGGTTCTGGTTACCACCTTTAAAGCGCTCCATGGCTTAGGACCTGGTTACTTACGGGACCGCCTACTACCATCAACAGCCTCCCACCGACCAGTACGCTCCCACAGAGAGGGGCTCCTCCAGGTGCTGTCGGCCAAACAATGTCGGCTGTCGGCCCCTAGGGAGAGAGCCTTCTCTGTGGGGGCACTGACGATCTGGAATGAGCTCCCCCCAGAGATACGGAGGATTCCGGATCTGCGCACCTTCCACTGCGAGTTGAAGACGCTTTTATTTCATCAAGCTGGCCTCGCCTAAATCTTCTCCCTTTTAAGTGTAAATTTTAAATTTTTAATGTATTTTAAAATTATGGGTATTTTAAATTATGGGTATTAATTCAGCCAAATTTATTTAATTCATTTTATTCGATTTTAAATTTTGTATATCTATGTGTTTTATTTCATGGCTGTGCACCACCCTGAGTCCTTCGGGAGTAGGGCGGTATAGAAATTCAATAAAATAAAATAAATAAAATAAATATGACTCAATTGCCAAACATCTGAATCTCGATCATGTGACCATGGCAATGCTGCCGTGGTCGTAAGTCTGAAAAACAGCCATAAGTCACTTTTTTCAGTGCTGTTTTTAATTTAGAACGGTCACGTTAAAAAAACTATTGTAAGTCAAGAACTAACTGTACGTGATTCCAACACCACACATTATTCCAGTTGTTTGTGATGAGTGGAAAGAGGTGTGCTTGCTTTATCAGGGGAAACACAATCAAAGACATTTATAACCAAAAGCCACAATGAATGAGAATTGAATCAGAAACTTCCTAATTTCCATGTAGGAAAACAACAACGTTTCCCCAACTTTCTAGGATCCTCATCCTAGGGCGCGCAGGGAAGAACACAGAAGAGAGCAATGTGAGTTGGGTGGCTTACGAGGAAAGAAAGGGCACCGATTCCCTTCATAAGGCACACCTGGGGATGGAGTTTAAAGGAGAGGCAGTTGGGAGGGGCATTTGTCGGGAACAAACACTGAATTCATACAGTGTTGAGAGTGGAGCCTGCGTTCCTGGCATTCCTCCTGACTGTTTGAATTATAGTTGTGCTTCTATGTGCTTATCTTGCCTTGCTGAAAAGTGAATTCTTCACTTTTGGGACTCATTATCTTGTACTGTTGGAGTGACTGATTTGCAGTCATTCTGCTTACAGCGTTTGGACTGGAGTATCTGCGGACAAAAGCTGCTGCAGGTTTGTGAGAGAGCTTTTCTTCAGGCCGGAGAGTAAATGGGACTTTGGGAGCAGAGTTGGTGCCAGTAAAGGGACTCATACCGGTTCTCTGGCTGTGTTGCCTTCATGCCACGCTCTGGGTCATCACAGCGTGCTTGCCTGCATACCACAGATGAGGCTTCGCTTGTTTGCATGGCCAGGTTGCTGGCATGCTGCGGACCATTGGTGGTCCGCAGACCGAGGAGACTCCTGGTCTACAAAAAGTATCTTCAAAGTAGAAGTTTGGAATTTGTAGTCTACAATTAAATGTCCCCATGTTGCGCATCTTGTCTTACCAGATCTCACTACCAGTTGGCGAGTGGCTTCACTAGGAATTTTAGCTGCTTCCTCCCAAGAGGTCACCAAGCGAGAAAAGAAATCGAAGTCTCCACCAAGACTTTCTTCAGTGTATTTGGTGGTGTGGCTGGGCCGGTAATATCCTGGAGGAGGTATTAGACAGTAATTAATTACAGAACTGTACTCCGTGAAAATATCTTTATAGCTCTTAGGACAAACACACCATCTTTTAGATCTGAATTTTGGAATATATCTACCAAACTTTTTTGAGAAATACTTTTTCCCAAAAAAGCTGTAGAAATTATTACTCAGTTAGTGCAAGAATACAGAAACTAGCTTTTTGAGGTTTCCAGAACATATCTTGGCTTAATCATTATTCAGTTAAGTTTCATAGCTATTCTTCTTTTAAATCCAGGATTGGAAACTTTTAACCCTGCAGATGTTAGTGGTCTACAATTCATAACCACTTCAATATAGAGGGTCCTTAATGCAGAATATGGGACCTGGAGTTCATGAACATCTGTAGGGCCATAAATATATTTATTCTATTTTTTTTTTTCCCGACCCTGCAATCCATTGCTTTGGGTCGGGGTCAGGGCGACTGATTTGGAGCTGAGAGTTTATTGACTGGATGCCCTTCCTGACACCTATGCAGAGTTCACAGCAGATAATTATTCATTGCGGCCAGAGAAATATCTGATACTATCTAGGATCAAACTCACAACCTCCTGATTATGAGGTGAGAGCTCCACCTCTAGGCCACCACGCCACTCCCAACTACCCCATTTACTATTTACTTGGCTTTGAATTCCTTTTATGCACCTCACACACTGAAAACTTGTTTGCTTAATCACATTTTTATTGAACAAACCACTGTTGATTGGTCCTGAACACCCTACAGCCCAAATCATGACTATAATGGCTGAATTCACTGAGCCACTACCTACTTCAAAAATTTTGGCAAAAGTTTTGACTTTTCTACATCAATGACACTCTTCACTCTCAGATGTCAGCTTTTGCAAGCTACACCAATCCCCAATTAACCCTAAACCCTAAGGGGGAAAATGCATCCATTTCAAGCAGACCCTAATACAGTGTTTGTCAATCATGTGAATTTTAAGGTATATACTTCAACTCTCAGGATTCCCCAGCCAGCCATGCTGGCTGAGGAACTCAGGGAGTTGAAGTCCACACATCTTAAATGTTGGCAAGCTGGACAAACACTGCCTTAAGATATTAAAGCTGCTTGTCAGTATTCTTTCATAACAACCTATGAACATTCAATAGAACCCAGCAATAAGATCAATGGTTTTAAGGTTCTTGGGGTAGATACATAAATTTTGTCGGTTGCTTTATAGCACGTATGACATTGTAAACCGCTTAGAGAGGGCTGTAAAGCACTATGAAGCGGTCTATAAGTCTATTGCTATAAGCGAAATTGCTGCTCTACAGGTAGTTCTCGATTTACAGAACTTCACTTAGTGACTGTTCAAAGTTGGAACGGCACTGAAAAAAGGGAATCGTGACCATTTTTCACACATATGACCGTTGCTGCATCCCCAGACTCACGTGATTTACATTTGGATGCTTGACAACTGACTGATGTTTATAACGGTTGCAGTGCCCCTGAGTTAAAGGATCCTCTTTTGCGACCTTCTTGACAAGCAAAGCAGTGGTGAAATGTAAAATTAGTTACTACCGGTTCTGTGGGTGTGCCTTGGTAGAGGGGGAGGTAATGTGACTGGGTGGGCATGGCCAACTTTTTTTTTTTTTTTTTACTTTTAAAAGCATTTTTTCTACAACCTCTTCGGCTGAAGAGGTTGTAAAAAAAATGCTTTTAGTATCGTTCCAATTTTAGTATGTGCTGCCGTAGCAAGCACAGGGGGAAAAATGCTTTTAAAAGCCTCTGACAATCAGGCAACTCAGCTGGGATCGTCAGAGGCTTTTAAAAGCATTTTTTTCTACAGCCTCTTCAGCCGAAGAGGTTATAGAAAAAATGCTTTTAAAAGCCTCTGACGATCCCAGCTGAGCCGCACGATCATCAGAGGCTCTTTTTTTTTTACTTTTAAAAGCATTTTTTCGGCCAAAGATGTGAAGAAAAAAGCTTTTAAAATTAAAAAAAAAAAAAAAAAAAAAAATGGTGATCGTGCGGCTTAGCTGGGCATGGGAGGTGGGCAGGGATTTTTGCTATCGGTTCTCCAAACCACCCACCGCCATCGCTACTGGATTGGGCTTTCCGGTCCAAACAGGGAACATTTCACCCCTGAGCCAGGGGTGAAACCCCTGTCAAAGTCAAGGGGGAAACCAGATCCACTTCACAACCCTGTTACTAACTTAACAACTGCAATGATTCACATAACAAATGTGGCAAATCCACATAACAGATTTCTCACATACGTTTTGGGCTCAACTGTGGTCGTGAGTTGAGGGCTACCTGTACTTGACACAAACTGGTTTAAAAGTAGTTCCCATCCAGGCTGAGGGATTAATTTGGTTCCCAAAACTCTTTTTCCTATTATAGGTAATCCTTGATTTATAACGGTTCATTTCATGACTGTTTGACATTAACAATGGCACTGGAAAAAGTGACTTAGGAACGTTTTTCACACTTACGACCGTTGTGGCATCCCCATGGTCACGCGATCAAGATCCAAGGTGCTCGGCAACTGACTCATATTTATGACGGTTGCAGTGTCCCCGGTTCAACTTTTGCGACCTTCTGACAAGCAAAGTCAATGGGGAAGCCAGATTCACTGAGCAACTGCTTTACTAACTTAACGACAGCAGCGATTCACTTAACGAGAAAAGCAAGAAAGGTGGCAGTGTGGGGCAAAACTCACTCGAGAATGGTCTCTCTTAGCGAAAGAAATTTTGGGCTCCATTGCGGTTGTACGTTGAGGACTACCTGCGCTTACACTCAATCTTTACTTACAGTTAAAGCAAAGTTACAACACTGTGAGTAATACCTATGCCGCTGACAAGGACCCAGGCCTGAGGTGGGTGTTCAGTATCTCTGATGGCTTTCGCCAAGGATTTTGTGGTCTCTACTCGGCTGGAAATGACCTCCTGACGGAAGGCATCATTCCACCTGCAGAAGCCCGCCCCCCCCAAAAAAGGCATCAGTCTTTTCAAAAATAGTTTTATCCTTCCACTAACATTGCCTATTTTCACAACTTTAAAGTCTGCTGATTGTTCCACCCAGGAAAAAAAAAACCAAAAACACGTTTCTAGCAAAACCTGTCTGAATGCCTTGCATGGCATCTAAGAACTCGCTTCTTCTAGGAATCAAGAGCTTGTTCTCTCTGCGTAGAATTTCGGGAAGAAAGAAAGAAAGAAAGAAAGACCTTTACTTTCCCTGCAGGTAAATAACAATCCATCAAGATGAATAAAGGTACCTTAACTAATGACAGAGAACTTTAATCCTATTACGAATCCCTCTAACAGGTCATAAGGGTTAAGTAGTTAACAGGTCATAAGGGTTAAGTAGTTAACAGGTCATAAGGGTTAAGTAGGCGATGATGTTCAGCTTGTGAGCCAAGAATCTTCCTTAAATACCATATTTTTCGGACTATAAAACACACTTTTTTGTCTCCGAAAAGGGGGTGAAAATGCCTGTGTGTCTTATAGATCGAATATTGCCAAAAACCCCACCCACATGCCAGCTGTTTTTTTGCCTCCACACGCCCCATTTTCAGGCCTTTCTTTGGCCCGTTTTTGGGCCTTTCTTCAGCCCGTTTTCAAGGCTTTTTTCGGCCATTTTTTTGGAAAAACGGCCTGAAATAAAGCCTCATAAACAAGCCCATAAAAACCTCAAAAACAGACCAAAAAAACCCTCAGAAATGGACTGAAAAAAGCCTCAAAAATGAGCTGAAAAAAGCCTCGAAAACGGGCCGAAAAAAGGCTGGAAAAGGCCTGAAAAAAGGCCTCAAAATGGGGCATGCAGAGGGCAAAAACTTTTTTTTCTTGATTTCCTCTTTAAATTTAGGTGCATCTTATAGTCAGGTGCATTTTATAGTCTGAAAAATACGGTATACAGGATCCATTTTATTTTTTTCCCCTTTCAACGAAATATTGGAAAGGAATGATGAAATGGGGGTTTGGGATCTTGGGTATATTTCTGTAGGCAGAGAAGCGGGAGAGATCAAGGCCGGGTCTGGTATAGGGGTCTCCAAACATGGCAACTTTTAAGATCTGTGGACTTCAATTCCCCAGTCAGCATAGTTGGTAGAGAGATGCTGGGAGTTGGAAGTCCAGGAGTCTTAGATTTGCCAAATTTGGACAGCTCTTTTCTAGTGCATCCCTAAGGGAGACCGCAGCTGGGCAACAGCTTAAAATATTGTTGACTGCTGCATTTTACCAACTTCCCTTTTCTCCTGGTCCTGTGGCCCGAAGAGACGACAGGCAGTCCACCTTGTGCATCCAAATGCAAATACAACAAGAGAGGAAAGCAGAAATGAGCAGACACAATGCATGGCGAAGAATATAGATGTCTCCTAAAACCACAGCTGGTAATGGAATTGGAAGGAATTCCGGAAGCCAGGCTCTACATATTTTCCTGACTATGTTTTTAAGTTCTTCTCCGTGATCCAATCGTCCATACCAAATTAAGGTCTTCAAGAAACGTTCAATACACAAACCTGCCTATGCCCTACCAAGTGGATGCACATCCTGAAGCCTCAGGGCTTCACACAGCACTTGAAGCCTTGACCGTAGCCATGCAAAGCCCTTCCTCCAGTGGTCACTCAATTTTAACAATTAAGTTGAAAGAAGGGGACGTTCATTATTAAAAATATGAAAGGAAGTCAGGGTAAACGTTCTCAACTTTTTAATCAAATCAAATCAAATCAATAGTTCTTCTCTGAGCTCAGGAATCCCTACCTCCCTATTCTCTCATTCCGAATGGGAGAGTTCTGGAAAACTGTGGTAGCTCCAGTTCTAGACAGACAGAATATAGAATATATATAATAAAATTAGAATAGGATAGAGATAGGGATTGGATGGGTTGGGGTAGGGTTGGTGTGGGTGGGATGGAATCAAATAGAGTGGAGTGGGATAGGGATAGGGATAGGGATAGGGATAGAGACAGGAGAGGAGAGGAGAGGAGAGGAGAGGAGAGGAGAGGAGAG